AGGAAGGTTGTTTTGCAACTCGTAGTTTCTAAGCATCTCCACTTCAGGGTAGTGGAGCCAGTAAAGGCAGACATGACTGATGATAGTTCCAGTTTGCGATCTCTGCCGCGTAAAATACTGCAATAAGGCATGTATTCCGTCCAAGAGGTAAAAGCGGAGGTGCCACTGTGAATTATATAATCTCAATACCATGCGAAATCTTGTCAATCTTGACGGAACAAAGTCCCAGTTAAAGAAGCCCTTCTTTTACTCCACAGCTTCCGCTTAGTTTTTCCGTCCATTAAGTCCAGCTACCCACCACCATGTCCAACTTTCAAGCAGTTTACACGGCCGACGCTTGTGCGCCTCTCCCTCAATTCTCCCAAGCCGTAAAATATAATGGCATGGTCTACTGCAGCGGGTCCTTCGGCATTGACCCCGCAACCGACGATTTGGTGCCCGGTTCTGTCACGGACCGAGCTCGCATGGCCCTTAAGAATCTCCAGGCCGTGCTCGAAGCTGCTGGCAGTAGCCTCGAACGAGTAGTGAAGGCCAATGTGTTCTTGGCTGAAATGAAGGATTTCGGTGCCTTCAACACCGCGTGGGATGAGTTTTTTCCCACTGAGCCCAAGCCTGTGAGTAGCATTACACACATCCTTCAGCTCTATTCTTTGACTAACATTCACGACTATAGTGTCGGACTTGCGTCGCTGTCCATCAGCTGCCTTTGAACACAGATGTTGAGATTGAGGTTACCGCTAGCTATCAGTTATAATAGTGTGAATAGTACTAATCACATAGCCGAGAATTCCCCAAATCAATCATTGCCCTTCCACTAAACGTATATTCTAATGAGAATGTCCTGAACCACAGCAGCTTCCACTCATTGCCTCCCTCGCCAATTTAGCACGACTCAAAGGTCGGGCAGCAGGAAGCAGATCTCTTCCCATCAAGTCTGGCAGTGGCTTTCGCGCATTCAGCTTATGCGTAGAACGAGTCGCAATCTTAGCAGAGTAGATGCTGTTCAGCCAATGGGCCAGGCGGTAACCGCCCTTGGCAATCTGCAACTCGATGGTTGGGATCACAGAGTTGTAGTATGTCGGGTAGAGATCGCCTGTCTGCAAGGCTGCAGCACCGTTGGGCATGACAACGGTGCAGACAAAAGCATTAGCATCTGAAGCCCAGGCCGTAGCTGATGCGATGGGATCAGTCACGTCGCTGTCTGCGATCCAAGAAGCAGCTTTGGACTTGTAAGAGCCAGACACGATATCAGAGATGAGTGTGTTGGCCCACGATTGAGCGTCGGTCAGGGCGTGGCCACCGATCAGCTTCTCGGGCATATACGTGTCCCAGTCTGAATGCAGATTATCACCAGAGTACCCGTTAAAGGTGACCTTGATATCGTTTCCGCCAACTTCGTAGGCCTCATCGTGCAGTGGCTGGGTGATATCACCCAAAAAGTGGACGAGGAACTTGAGAGCCTCAGCCTTGTTTGCTTTTGTCAGACGGCTATCTCCTACACGTTGAGTGTAGTTGGCAACAGCGGAGATGGAGCATCCAGAACTTCCGCAGTCGCGGTCATAGTCGACATTGCAGTTTGTTGGTGGGCTGTCCTCTGCATCAATAAAGTGTAGAGGAGCTGACCATTTTCCAGCTGCCGTTGTGCGGTAGGTGTCAGCCCACGAGGCGATGCTGGCAAGGTATGAGTCTGAGGTATCTCCCAGAACACCCTGTGCCCTATTCTAATATCAGTACATTTGAAATTGACAGCGGAGTAAAGAGTATTTACCAGGAGGCAACATCATCATCAAGAAAGCGTTGAGCAATGTAGGCAACAGTAGCATGACCTAAAACACCCCAACCATGAACAGCGCGGATGGCTCCAGAGGCCAACAGAAGAGATTTGAGCATCATGTTTAGATAAGACGAGATTTGAACAGATCCTATTGCTATACTTGTGAAAGAATTGGACTGACACTATATACATAATCCGGAGCTGTACCGTCGGTGACCTGGCTTAGTTGAGCGACCGATATATGGGTTCAATTGTCTAAATCTGGTCTTATAGCCGAGTTCAGTCTGATGTGCCGGACAAAGGTCCTTTGATAAATGCTGTTAAGCGCTACAGCTCGGCACAGAATTGCCGGCACGTTTTGTAGATAGCCCATTGATAGGTAAATACCAGAAGGTCTGAAACACCTAGTTAGGGAGGTAGGTATCCTATTCGAAGATCACAAGTTGAGTGACATTATTTACCTGCCCAAAGAAGTATAATTCATCTCTAAACTATAGTGCGGAGTGCTCCGTACTCCGTAGGTTCAGTGCCATAAGACAGTGTCTTTATCTTATCTTCTGATAGTTATCTACAAACTTGACTGGCCGGATAATCGGCATGTCGATAGCAGGGATAATCGCAAGTAGTTGCAGATCTCTTTTCATTCCCGCATAGCCATTGGGTATCGCTCTCAGAAGCCGAGGCCATAGTGCCCAATCCCAGAGCAGAAACCAGCAAGCTATTCTGCCCATAAAACAGTGCATTGAATTTCCACGTTCAACCTCTCATTCGGCAAAGCCGCAACCTGTATACAGGTCCTAGCAGGCGCCTTGGTCTTGTCCGGCCATACCTTATTCCACTCCTTGTTCATCCCAGCATAATCTTTCATGTCGGTCAAGAAGACAGTAGCGTTGACCACATTCTGCAGTCCACATGCGCCGTTTGTTGCACCGTCAATAATGGCCCCAATGTTCTGCAGCACCGCTTCTGTCTGCAGGGAAATGTCAAGGTGGTGCGTTCCGTCGGCGTCTGTAGTGCAGCCGACGACTGTGTTATCGCCGCGACGTGACGAGGTCCCAGAAACGAAAATGGTCTTGGCTGATTGTGGTGTTATTCGAGCGTGGGGATAGTTGGCGAGCGATTGAGCCCTTTCAGCGGGGAGAAAGAAGGGTTCGCCGTTTTGTGATGCCATTTCAAAAGCCTTTGTGGTCGAAATAAAGAATTCAAAATTATGTCAGACAGCCAATCACTGATATGCACTCAGAGGAAGTAGAAGTTTGATAAGAAATAGAAGCGCGAGAATTATTGTGCATTGAAGCCAGCCAAAACTCCGCGGGGCTGCCAGGCAATGTACATTTAGTGGTGGCTACCCGCTTGCCGACGCTATTTTGACTGACCCGGGACTCGGGCCGCGACCTTCTTCCGTGACCATGGCATCGATCGTCGGCGGTTGAACCGGTGTCATTCCCGGGTTTCACTATCTTGAATATGATAATTTTCGATCTGTGATTAGATATACTGCAACACTTTTTACCCGTACATGGTCGACTAACAAGAAGAGCAAGCACAGAACCAACCGCACAAATGCCAGACTCTCCCATCAAAACTGCCTGGCGATTCCAGACCTCGGAGTCTGCCGAGCACTTCATCTCCTCGGACAGCGTGTCAGCGCAACTTTCTCTACAGAACTATGTCTCCAATGAATTCGATACCTCGTTGACAGCGGATTACGTTGATTCCATAAATCCCAAGACCGGCAAATCTTTTGCTAGGGTCCCGATCAGCAGCACTGCTCAGGTTGACCACGCACTGCAGGCCGCTACTGATGCGTTCAAAACATGGTCCAAAACGACAGCAGCCTTCAGGTCCAGCCTGCTTGAGCGAGTGGCGTGCCTGATAGAAGAGAATAAGGAACTCCTTGCAGTTTGGGAGAGCATAGACCAGGGCAAAACACTTGCACGGGCGAGAGTCGAAGTAGATCGGGCTGCGACAAATTTCAGGTGGATACATACCCACGGAACACTGAACAAGAAGTTTCACTAACTCGGGCATCTTGTAGATATTTCTCGAGTTTTATTCTGCATCAAGAGAACGCCGTGAGGATGATTGATGGAGTCGCTCTCACCTACGAGCACCGCTCACCGACTGGCGTTTTTGCGCTCATCTCTCCGTGGAATATGCCTTTATACTTGCTGACCTGGAAGATCGCACCTTGTCTTGCCTTTGGTTGCACAGCCGTCGCCAAACCTTCAGAATTCACCTCCATGTCTGCATTCCTTCTCTGCGAAATATTCCGGCTCGCAGAGATTCCACCTGGTGTTATCAACATAGTCTTCGGCGATGGGGCTACTACAGGCTCGCGACTCGTACAGAGCCCTCTTGTCAAGGGCGTCTCTTTCACTGGAAGTACGGCAACGGGGATCAAGATCCGTAGAGATACGGCGGACCAGATCTACAAGCACATTTCCCTTGAGCTAGGTGGCAAGAACCCAACCTTGGTCTTTGATGACGTGGATCTCGACAAGGCAGTCCAAACAGCCGCAACAGCGGCTTTTGAAAACCAAGGAGAGGTAAGACATGCCGATTTATATATGCCTTGGACTCTTGACACTGACCTCATTAGATCTGCTTATGCGGTTCTCGTATCTACGTCCAATCCCGTATCTACGATTCATTCGTCGCCTCACTAAAAACATATGTCGAGGCAAATTACAAATGTGGCGATCGTACAGGCGCTGTAGCCTCATTACAGCATTATAACAAGATCGTATCGTACCTCGCACTGGCCAGAGAGGAGAATGCCACTTTCATCACGGGATCTGTGCCGCCACTCGAACCCAGCAGCGGCTACTGGGTAGAGCCAGTAGTTTTGACCGACGTCAGTACATCGTCACGAATCATGCAGGAGGAAATATTCGGCCCCATCGTCACTATCTCCAGGTTCGAAACCGAGGAAGAGTGTGTCCAGCTGGCGAATGATAGCGCGTATGGACTTGCTGCCGTTCTCTTGACCAAGGATGGTGCACGGATGAGACGTGTCGGTGAGCAGCTTGACGCGGGGCTTGTTTGGGTCAATTGCTGGTTGGTCAGGGAGCTTAGTACACCTTTTGGTGGGATGAAGAACTCCGGTAAGGGGCGAGAGGGAGGAAACTACAGTCGAGATGTTTTTACTGTCGTGAGGACTCTCCACCTACCAATGTAGGGCCTGTCCCAGTTAATGGGATACTTTAGATCTAGCATGTCACTATCAGAGAAAGTGATATCTTCTTAACAGATGATGAATCTCCTAACGCGATTGAACTCAGGTTCTGAACGACTGACTGTGTTACTTCGCCTAGCCCATATTCCCAATCCTTTGTCACGCACTCCAAACGCCCATCTTTAAGGCAACAGGAGGGCTAACTGACAGCTTGCTTGGTCTGTTTACGCTGGTATTGTGCAAAGAAATGATTCAGGCAGAGCAAATGATTATGTGTCGACCTCAGGAAATACACATATTCTATTAGTGTATATAATAGATATGAGATACGGTATTTGAATTGCTTTTCTATTCAATCGGAGATTTCGTTGAGTATAGGTTATGTGGCTTCGGCAATCGGCCCGCTTCGCTGGGGGGATCGGATATGGACAAACTCTATCAGCTCGGCATTAATGATCCTTCCTACCAGACCTATATAACTACCTGAAGAAGTTCTAAATCCTCCGCTAGCAGACATCTACCGATGGAATCTCGCGAGGGTGATTGGCCATGTCACAAGTTCACGTTGCAGTCGGCCGGAATGTGTCCAGCGTGGATGGGCCGGCATATAAGTTAGATGATGGTTCAATTCCCACCCATACATGCGCGGGCCGCCGTCGGATAATGAGCTGTCTAGTCTGCGGTGAATAGCCACGCAATCAGTAGTTAAGCCACTCAGAAACGATATAACATGTCAAAGATGCCAAATATGTATGTCCAACGAGATATCAGGGCAGTACACCAGACTTGGCTACCACTTCAAGAACATTCTCACATCTATCCACGATGGCAGTTGACTCACTGACAATGACCACCCAGTGCAAGGGGTGCCACAATCGCATCAAACCTGAAGGCAGAAACTCATGTGGGACGACCGACAATAAATTCTATCGCATTGACCTTCATACACATGTTATGCCGCGGACCCTACCACAGCTATCTGATCCTGAACAAAATGGTACACAATCCAACTCATGGATTGAACTAAGGCCATCACGAGTGGATGGAGAGTCAGTTGATATCTACGTCGATTCCAAACATTTCCGGACCGTTCAAGACAACTGTTTTGACCCGAAAGTTCGCCTAAGAGATATGGACCAGACGGGAGTCCATGTCCAGGTATTGAGCACAGTTCCGATCCTGTTTTTCTACGACAAGCCAGGCAAGATGGTCGCACAGTTGGCGCGGGCACTCAATGATCATCTGGCACAAGTGTGCAGCGAATACCCGACAAGATTTGTTGGCCTTGCGACGGTTCCGCTGCAGGACGTGCAAGCATCTGTTGAAGAGCTCAAGAGAGCAAAGTATACCCTCGGACTAAAGGGTGTCGAGATTGGAACTACGATTGGTGATATGAACCTTGACGACTCTAGGTTGGATCCATTTTGGGCTGCCTGTCAAGAGTTAGATATGCCTGTCTTTGTCCATCCGCTGGGATACTCACTGCTCAAAGAGAATGAACATCGATGGGGTCAGTATTGGTCTTCGTGGCTAATCGGAATGTACGTAATGGTCCCTTCCAATGGGCGTAATTTGGAACCAAAAGACTTACTAACTTATTACTAGGCCCTGTGAGACCGCCCTGTCGATGCTGGCCTTGACATCTTCCGGTCTCCTCTTACGATACCCAAGATTGCGCTTCTGCTTTGCTCACGCAGGAGGGGCGTTCCCAACCCTGATGGGAAGAATTGAACACGGATACAATTGTAGGCCAGACTTGGTTGCTTCAAGAGCGGGTGGGCGAAGTCCTTCAGATCACCTCAGCTCAGGCGACAATCTCTGGATAGACAGCCTAGTCCATGACCCAGATCTCCTTGCGTACCTCTGCAAGAAGATAAGAGTGGACCGCATTCTTATGGGTAGCGACTATCCTTTCCCGTTGGGCGAAGTTCCTGAAGCAGGCAAGATGTTGACTTCTGACGGATCACTCTCTGAGTTTCTGTCAACGGAACAACGTGCAATGATGCTAGCTGGAAATGCCATTGACTTTCTGAAGTTGGATGCACGATTCCAGAATGCCTATAAAGATAGCTTGAGAGACCTGTTAAACAGAGACTGTAATAGTATAGCTAATTAGCGTATATATCAAGTTTAAATTTTATAACATATTCTGGAGTTCTAACATACCTTTAGCTTTAAGTATCTCCCCTAATACGTGGAGCTTCACTGGTTTCGAAAGAAACATATTAAATCCACTTTCGCGTGCCTCCTTTTGTGCCTCTTCCGTAGCTAGGCCGGATATTGCAAACATCAAAACACCCTCTCTAACTCCCTCGCGGCTCTCAAAAGCCCTAATTAGTCTCGCCGCCTCAAAGCCATTCATTACTGGCATTGAGATGTCTGACAGAATACAGTCAAAGTCTCCTGGTGACTGTGTATATTTCTCCACTGCCTCCTTTCCATTGATGGCTTTGTCGTATCTGATGTTGAGTTTCTTCAGGTATACTGCTAGGATCTTGAGGTTTATATGATTATCTTCAATGAGCAGTATTTTCGGCGTGTTATCAGGACCGATCGGCTCTTGTCCAGTCGATGCTTCCACGGCCGTACTACTAGCAGCGCCTTCATTTGCAACCGCCCCACTAAGATACTGTGGGATTGGCATTTCACGACTGGTGTCGTCCGGGTTTGCTTGTGGAGGAAACGAATAGCTCGCGTTTAGACCGGGCGTCGGGCGCCGAGTAATCGCTGGCGTGCTACTGTCGGGGACGGGCGGAGTGGTGTGAGGCTCCTCATCCGACGTCCAACGACTGTAGGCGAGTGACAAGGTCTTTGCAAGATTTCTTGGGCCGTGCCTACATGTTATCGTTATTAGTTTTGAGCCGTGCATACCTACCGAGTCGATGATCAACTTACGGCTACGATACAAACTCGAAAACGCCTTTCCAGCCGGCCGCATGCGAATCCACCATTCTTTCGTAGGCGGCGAGGGCATCCTTGCATACAACCACATTTGGAATCAGGGCAAAGGAGTCCGTGTACTGCGTTGTAGCTGGCAAAGCATCCTGGGTCCAGATTATGAGATCTGGGTTCCTCGAGTTGTCATCTTCCGCTAGAAGCTCAAGCTTCAGCCATTCTCTGCAGGTATGATCCGAAGTATCTCGCAGGGCAGAGCTGTGACTACTATTCTCATCACTGAGGTTGATAAGGAGGTCACCGGGACTACTGTCAAAGAAATTAATATTATACCTTTTTAACACCTCATTTTATTATATAGATATTCTTTGTGCTGCATAATGTTTTTATTATACCTGTTGCTTAAAATACAGTTACACTAAAGTCTTATAATTCTATATATGCGAAAGCTGAGTAGAAGCCTGTATGCTGTCCCCGTAATCGCGGACTCAAGGGTGCACCTGGCATGGTGGTGAGCGGGCGGATGTTTGTCATGGACAGTTTCGCGAGGGAAACTGCAAGGGAACTTGTCCCTCAGAAACTCACGAGGTTGCAACGCAGACCTGTGGCGGAGAGTTCCTTACCAGAAAGGCCCCGTGGCGATGCCAGTAGAAGATCAAGAGTTGTCACTGGATGGGAACGAGCTGACCTGACCAGAACAACTACGACAAGTGAGTCTATTGCTGTGCCAAACTAAGCGCCGCGGGCTACTAATATCTCCAGTTCCGACGTGCAACTTGCGAGGACCGAGCGCGGCGATGGCAAGTGGGGTAGTAATCTGGGCGGCTGGGAAAAGAGCCTTTGCTGCAATGCCCCAACCGCGATAACTCTCATGTAGAGGTTGTCGATTGCTCTGAGGTCACCTCCTCTGGAAGAAGCCAATTCACCAGGGTATTTTGTTCTAACGGCGGTCAAACGAATGGCTGCCATGATATGCTTGAAAACGGACCTCGGTGCGAACGGACTGGTCGTAAGTACGACGTTGCCCCTCTGATCGTGCACCTACTTATCGTATTATAGAAATATGAGTGGATCTGGGGTGAGACTCCAAGGTACTGAAATACTGTAGTCTTGCTGACAGCCCATCTGAAACTGATCCCATGACGGGAGACTTGTATCTGTTATTGGGTTACAAATTTGGGCCGTATCCTCAACAAAGAACGAGCCCGGTGGGAGTCCTGAGTGAACATATGCATCTGGTAATAGACTGCTAGAGTCAATTTGGGCTGGAAGAACACCGAGGTCGAAATTTGTAGGATAGTCGTGGGTGGTGGGGAATTCCGTATGGGAGTCAATGGCAACTGAAGTATATGCTTCGCGATAAGGCAGTTTCTCGTAACAAGCTGGGAGATCGTGGGGTGCCTGGGTCTTATCGCTAATGTCTGTAGTAAGGCTTCGACTGTCAGGGCTGCAAGTCTGATCTGTAGCGTCGGCACATCCCAGATCGATAACGACTTCGCCCTTGCGAGGGGACGGCCTCCCATCACAGCTGAGGCCAGAAATCGTTTCGATCATTGTAACTACTGTTCGTCCAACCGCCCACACTTGCGCTAAATCTTTCAGGGATTCCAAGCAGGTGCTGACTCGTCGCCGGGCAAGTCTCCTGGTAGTAGGACTCGGCGTATTCGACACGTGTAAGTGTATAACAACTGCTGAAAAGAGACTATGGACGATGAATGGAGGACAACGGCGTAGCTGTTGCTTGTCTCTGAGGGCTTCAACAATCGACGTAATCATATTGGCTGAGCCAACTGTACCATCTCGTGATCCATAGGATTGTTTTGTATCCTGCAAAGTCTTTCTGTTGCGAGGCGAACTTGCCCGATGTAGCAGACAGCAAGCGCTGAAGTAGTGCAAGTAGAGTATCCCAGACCAGAAATGGTGCTTTGATCGTTCCCAGCGCATGGGAGCAGGGCACTCCTGGTTCCATTTGGATAGGGACGTAGCAATAGAGTTGATACCATCCCAGTCCTGGCCACCACTGGATAAGTTGGAATATTTTGATGCGACAAGTCCTATGAGCTTACACAGCTTCACGTACTGAACGAAGAATCCCACCTGAGTTGGGTCTGGTGGGTATTCGTCAATATCATTCCCATCATGCTCGATGAAGTCATCATCGGCGATCATATCGACATCGCAATCGTCGAGGTTGAGGGATACCGACTGTCCCAGGCCAACGGCGAGAGTGCGATCTCGAGTAAATAGCGTCCACCAAATGCGCTTACGGAGTCTCTTTTCACTGATTGACAATGTTGAATTTTCCATGCTGCGATGTAGACCGAGACTCTGAGCAACAGCGATTGCGGAGTGACTCCAATAGAACATGTTCTTGGATATGTCATCAGGGCCAGCCCAGTACCATCCCATTAGAAGCATTGACTGCACCAAGGTAATTCCGTCTCGCTCATAGTCGGCGTCATAAAGGGCTTTGGCGCGTCGATAAAATGTCGCAACAGCTGTTGAAGCTGATCCATCAACCATTAATTGTGGGTTTATGCTTATTCGGGCGCCTGCCAGTAAGATACACTGTATGAGAAGCATCGACGGGGGCCTTTTAGGATCTCGATATTGTGACATAAATTTTGTGCGGTTGATAACGGGTACAATCGGGTGAACCCAAGCAAAGAAAGTCTCTATCAAGTCGTCGCAAAGCGATTTCGGAGGTAATACAAAGGCCCCTCTTCGCTGCAGGATCCGTGTTTCGAGAGGGTCCAGTCCAGCAGGTATTGACAGCGCAAGAGTATCTCGAGGCATAGGGAAATGCACTACCGGGCCTTGACTTCCACTGAGGAGGAAATTAAAACCCGCAGATTCGCCCAAGTAAACAACATGGCCTGCGGATGTAACAGGTAGAACATTGAATTTGGTTGGTGGTGACACAGCTCCATCTTGCTGGGAGCTTTTTAGATATGCCTGAGTAGTTGAGGTAAGTGTATTGAGGCAATGGCTTGGGGAATCTCTCTGTGGTCTTATCCTGGTCAGTGAGTGAGATCATGAGATAGATCAATGCAACCATACGTAGTGTGCTCTCCTTTCCTGCGGTTAGCGAGAGTCCTTGCTCGGTGTTCCGCTATGCCCGGAACTTCACAATTAATATTAAATGCAGTGCAATTGGTGCAGGGCATCCCTTTGCTCAGAGCATCGCATCGGGTTTTTCGCGAATGACATGTCCAAAGAATAGGTAAGTTTCAGTACAAGACGAGTGTGACGCGACGTAACTTACCACGCAGGCTCGAGATGATCGAATCTTGATGAATCTGCAGTCGTTAGCTCCAACAATTGTACAGAAAACAGAAAACCGGAATGTATATGCATACCTTCTTTGTCGCGGTGGTTGAACTGATGTAGCCATAATTGGTATCTAAGGATATAAATGACAATCGAATCGGAATAAACAAGGTTTTTGTTTTCAAAAGTGCAATATGTAGAGCCGACCTTTATTCTCTAAATGCACCTAAGCGGCATTATATGTCAAAAAATGGCCATCAGCAGACCCAATGAACCCGTGTTATAGCGTGATGATGGGCAATTGCACTACTGTACCCCGCACTATGAACTGAACTTTATAGCCACTAGCTTCGGAGGATGGCGGCGGGGAGGGAATGAGGTACGTCGATCAGTCAGGGGTTACGATACACATGCCCGAGGGTCGGGTATGACCGAGGCAGGACAGGGTTATGTCAACAACACCTCCCCTGTGCTTTATACAACTAAAAAACTCGCAAAGGGCTGTGTATAGATACTCTAGCCAGTGAGATTGCCAGAAGTATTGATCTAATTATCCCCAGAGGCATGGGCAGGCTATCCTTGCATACTGCTCTAATAGCGGAGTCCATAACTGGGAAAGTAGTGTCATTTTTACTTTTTCAAAGAACGCTAGCCTTCGGTTAACGTACACTAATCCATTTTGCGACTAGATTTCAGCTCTTGTATACCAGGGCGTCATATTGTGAAATAACAACCTCCAATTAAAAATACTATATAAAGAGAAGGGAGAAAACATCAATTGCGAGATGTGTCAGCCGCGGCCCACTGTCCTGCTTACTGCGGCAGACACCTAATACTAGAGTGAGACCCTGCCTGGGCATGCTTTCTAACCAATTATAGGACCAACTGGCTTTCCAACCAGATCAGCCAGGGCCTCAATCAAAGCAGTAGACAGGGTGATTGAGCCCCTCAGATCCAAGAGGGAAGAAACCACATTACTCGTCTTGCACTGGCTTGGCGCCTTCCTGCCATTCATGATATCCTTTAACCACGCCAGAGCCTTTCCAGCTCCAATGATGGCGAGTGAGCCATGCTCCGAGAGTAAGTCTCTGTCATACTGAACCTTGGTACCGCCAGAGCAGTAGAATTTGACAAGATCGTCGGTGTCCTTGATGGGGCTGACTTGATCCTGAATCGACTTGTAAACAAACAGAGGAATGCTAGGACTGTGTTTACCAAGAGCGTTCTCGTCTAGAATGCTTTTGGCGGGTTCTTGTGTCAGGATGGCAGGGTCTTTCAGCATTCCAACCACGTCCTGTCCGAGGAACGAAATAATATCAGTCACAAAACATTGCTTTTCAACAGCATCGAATTTGGCTTTATACTCTGGCTTGATAGCCGCATCAAGTCCCAATTTGAGGATCGGGTATTGTTTGGCCAGCCCAACCATGCCGGGAGGGATAATACCTGCCAAAGGTCCCTTGTTGATGCTCTTGATGACAGATGTGATGTTTGGCACAGTACCACCAAGAGCAGCACCGGCGATACGAAGCTCTGGAGCGTACAACTGCTGAAGCTCTGCCGCTGAAGCCGACGCGATGCTCCCACCAGAGTATCCCCACATTCCGACGGTGGGGTTCTTCGAGATGCCAGTGAAGTTGGCAGAGTTGATGGCCGCTCGAATTCCGTCAAGCGTGGCATATCCGGCGAGTTTGTTTGCCAGGTAAGCCGCGTCAGGACCTTCATGGTCTGGAGCAATGACGATCCATCCCTGCTCAAGAGCTGCTTCTATCAGCAAAAGCTCTGCTTGGGTGACAATGGTTCCGAGGGGTCCGCCGGTGGCGGAGGCGAACTGAAAGGCATAAGACGGAGCACAGCCGGCATAAGAGGCATCCTCGGCGACCTGGTATGAGAGGACCTTTGTAAAGTCGGCTTTGTAGGGGACCAAGACAGTAAGGACGGTGGAGAGGGCCTTGCCGAAGTTGTCGTTGGTTCTGTAAGAGATCTGCCAAGTGTCTTTCAAGTTGGTTGGAGATATACCGAAGGCTGCAATGGGAGACGGTGGCTTGCGATAGTCGATGATGGTGCCAGGCGGGTAGTCGTTGATGTTATCAGGTACCTTGTAGAAGGAGTCTTCAGTGGGGAGTACAGGCTGCTGTCGCTCCTCAACAGGGGCAGACAAACCCAGAGTCGAGAGTGCCGCCACTGACAACAGGATGAAACGAGGGAACATGGTTGACGTGACTAGAGTTCGGGATTTAGATAGCCAATAGTTCATCCAGATGAGTTTGTACAGGCGTCAAAAAGATCTTAATATAAACACCTTTTACTCATAACTGTATTATAATTTGAAGGATATCAAGTACAGTTAAATATACAATTTAGTTCATGCAAATCGTCCTTTACCCCAGATCAGCCTTCCATTGAACCACGTGAACCCTCGGACAAACCCATGTGAAACCGTCGGACGGAGCGATTTAGCTTCAGCTGAGCAGATGAAATTACTTTAGTCCTCTGTAGAGTGACAGTTACCCTCCACCACAGCTAGCGAGGCGCTATTCTCGTCTCAGGGACGTGCACATGGCGATCACTTGCCGGACTGCTACAAAATCCGCGGCTTGCACGCGATTTGCAAATCCCGCTCTAGCGCCTACCGCCATGGCCATAGCCCCGAACATCACAAGGCTGGGATTGGGACAAAGACCATGCAGTAGACTCATTCAGGCAAGGAAGCCGAGACCTTTCCGGTAAAGTGCGATATCGATGCACACGATCCATCCGCTTCCCTTCCTACCCCGCAGCCAACCAACTCAATACAATTTACGGTACCCAGCGGCTTGTGGCCGAAGCGGTATTGGTCATTAATACAGATATACAGCACCTAATTTCCGTCCTCTTTTCGAATCGCCGAGAGCGGGCCCCTTGCGGGTGAGTAAAGCAATGGCTGCCGCATTTCAGGCGAGCGCTGCTATCTCTGCCAGAAGATGCTGTTTATCCTAATTGTGAAGCGAGGGAGGGCTGAGCAAAGGAGCCAACTGAATAGTTGCCTCGGCGACGAGGTCGGCTTCATGGCCCGCTCCCTGGAAAACATCTAGAAATGACAATAGCGTCCTATCAGCGTGCATTTGGACACTGATGGAGGCCGCCTTGTGATGCGAAGCAGTTTCAAAACACTGAGCGGCCTCTTCGAGATCTGTAGGCACCTTCATGAATAAATATATCTGGTGCGGAGTTTCTTCTTCCCTGGACCATGTAATCGCTTTGCTAGGTCGGGATCATCTTTCGGTGTCCCCTCAACTGCACTACGGCTTGCACATATTGCTTCCTCGATATCTTCCAAAGCTTTCGTGTGAAGATATCTAGATCGAAGCTGGACTGGAAGATTGGAAGACAGAGTTTCCCGGCGAGAGGGTTCTCGGGTTTCTTTAGTTATCCCAATAGACTCAGAGGTCGTCGAGGTTTCTTGTTCGTATAAACCTGCTCCACGGTTGTATGCGGAGACTCTCCAGTGCCATGAATCTACTGGGATGGTCATCTGAGATGTCTCCAATGGTCTGTTGGGCCACGCTGATAGACTCATCGAAGCCAGCCGTTTCTTTGGTACGTCTGTATCTCAAGCCAAGCCGAATGCTTGGATCAATTAACAGATCGGTCCTCTGTTTATTCTCCATTGGGGTGACTGCGACAGTCTTGCGGGTGACATCGATCGCTTCTTTGAGGTATTTCATAGATCCAACGCGCATGTATTGGTCTCTTGAAGAATGCTGAGGGCGGTGTACATTCCAATCAGTGTAGGGTTACCGTTAGCAGTGACCGTTATGGAATCCTGAGCGAGCGTTGATGGCTTCCTCTAGGTCCTCAATGGTCCCTTTGCGCAGATACCGCGCGTCAAGTTGAGAGGCAAGACTGGCTGGCCTGTCACCGCGTTCTGCGTCAAGGAGAACTTTCGGCGTGGCCTTGATAGCCTCTCAGGCTGTATGGACAGACTCCCCAAGGACTCCATTATCCATGCTTGCCTCGTATTTACTTCTCAGATCCAGGGCCAAGCAGTGATAGCCATGGAAAATTATATTTACTTATTTCCCTATTCTAAACATCTAGTCTTTGTCTTTAAATAAATCATCTATCAAGCAGTAGTCTTATAACTACCTTCATAGTGTTATAGGCATAAGTACAGAGATTAATTAACTACTCTTTAACACAAGGTAGAGAATTTTTAATGACTCATACAGTTACTTTTCTTAGTAATAATCTGCAACCGACCCGCATCACGCCTTTCCATTGACAAGTAAGTATCTAATCTCCAAGAAAGTCTCACACACTGGGACAACTGAGCGTTCGCATCAGCTACAAAATGCTTTCTTCCACTGTAAATCCAATCGTATTTGATTCCTACCCCGACCGCGGGTTACAAGCGTATAGCGTCGTTTTGGGTGCGTGGTTGGCTCTGTTTCCAGCCTCCGGGCTCCTTAACTCAACTGGTATTTTCCAAGCATGGCTCCTCGTCAATCAACTCGACAAATACTCAGAGCCTCAAATCTCGTGGATATTTAGCACTTTCGCCTTCCTTTTCTTCTTTGGGGGCATTCAGGCGGGTAAGCTCATCTATCCAGCATTTAATTCACACAACAATGTATCTCACATTTGTGTAGGTCCAATATTTGATAGATATGGACCTAAATACTTGTTCCCTACTGGGGCATGTGGCTTAGTCGTCGCGCTGTTATGTACGAGTTTCTGTACAGGTAAGAAGGACCTTGGCCAATTGGCGAAGCACAGTCTGATGCTAACGTCACTGGTGAGAAGAATACTACCAGTTTATGCTAGCCTTTGGGTGTCTTGGTGGTCTCTCTTCTTCAATCATATGGACTACTAGTATCGCCACCCTTGGGCATTGGTTCATGCAAAACCGGGGGCTGGCAACTGGTCTTGCGACCACCGCTGGAGGCGTTGGAGGTCTATGCTATCCCCTTGCCTTCTTGCATCTGTCACGTCGAAATGGGTTTCCCTGGACAATAAGATGCTTTGCGCTTGTCACCTTGTTGTGTTTCCTAGCTAGTCTGCCCTTGCTCAAGACACGGCTGCCGGCAAATCCGACCTCGCGGCTTGTTCTTGACTGGAAGGGTTTCAAAGACACGAGGTTCACACTGACGATGATGGCGATATTCATTCTGGACTGGGCTGTTTTGGTGCCTCCAGCATACATCACCACATACACTTCTTCACATGGACTCAGTGATCTCTCTCCCAACATACTGGCCATTCTCAACTCGGCATCTACCTTGGGACGTTGTCTACCTGGGATTGTTGCCGACAGGGTCGGTCGGTTCAACGTTATGATCATATGCGCAACTCTCTCCACCTTATCAATCTTTTGCTTATGGCTTCAAGCAGAGTCTAACGCTGCTGTTGTCATTTCCTTCGCTGTAACCTATGGCTTTTTCAGTGGAACCGCTTTCAGCCTGACGCCAGTATGTGTGGCTCAGCTCTGCAAAACAGAGGAATATGCCACAAGGTATGGAACAGCCTATGGCGTGGTAAGCTTCGCTACATTGGCTGGAGTTCCCATCTCGGGACTGATCTTAGGTACGAGTGACGGCAGCCACTACACCGCCTTGGTTCTCTTTTGTGGTACAGCATATGCAGTCTCGGCTCTTCTTTTTATTTGTGCCAAGGGAACCAGTCAGGATTGGAGGCTCTTGTCTAAATTTTAGTCTTAAGTGACAGCTAGCCATTAAACATGTCGAGGTTGGGATGGGATAAGGAAACCGTAGGGTAGCCTAAAAACAGAAATTTTGGCTTCGAATGCCCGAATTTAAAGACTGCAATATCATAAATCAAGAACACGATAGTATTAGCACAGGCAGTTCGCTAGCTAGCTTGATATTTATAGGCATAAGTAGAGAAATATAGTATGAATAGCTGCTGTCTGTAGCCCGTCTCAGGCATCAGATTTCCTTCCATAGATAGAACATCAGCTAATAGTTAGTACCTAATACTAGTTCCTATTAAAAATACTCAAATTGGATTATAGGCATAAATACTCGGATTATTCAGATCCTTCCTTACATCAATAAGAGAGGTAATGACGTCTTAGCTTGACTATCCGTGAGCCCTCGAAAGTGACGCTATGGTCAATGACTTCAAAGCGTTTCAAGAATTACAATCATTCCACCCTCCGAACTCTTTATACTTCTTATCTCCAGGCCACAGATTGGTAAGCCACCTAAACCTATTATTGACGACATTGATAAAGCCAACTTCTTGCGTAATAGCTTTAATCTTATCGAACTTAATAGACATACTCCCGAGCTTAATAAAAACTTCTCCGAGGGTATACCACTTTGAGAGAGCATAATCTGCGGTAAGAGTATAGTCGTCAGAGAGGATTGTACTATCAGTTTTCTGAATTTCGATATAGCCTCCAGGCTTGAGATTACTATAAAAAGTGAGTCATTCAGACGAAAGTGGAGGTTAAAGACATGCCTAAAGATCTTGCGGATAAACTCTTTATAAGTACTTATAGACTTAATTAAAACTCATTGAGATCTTAACTATGTAACTAAATACTAAAAAAGGCTAGAAGAAAACAAATATCATTACACTCTAGGCATTGCATTATTTAGCCATTCTTGAGATTCCTCATTACATCCAACTACATGAAATTCTATTATGGCTCCAGCGCCTCGCTTTGCATGTATGTGCATTGTTGTGCTCCATTCCTGGATGACTCGGACGATATGCCTTGGTGGAATATCCCGCACATTCCACACATCGAACTGGACAAGTTCCGGGGCCCACAGGTATCCACACCCATGCTGGAGCTCAGGAGAGTCGGTGTCGGTCGATCTGATAGCAGCTACACTTCTGTTCAGTGCTCGTACGGCTTCGCGCCAGCTAGAGATGAGCTGTGTCATGAATGGACCATCCAAGCCGCCGTTGAGATCGGTCTCTGTCAATGCCGTTGCTTGAGTGATGGACCGCAAAAGACCAAAGCGAAGCTTCCGAACCGAGCGGAGTGTAAGCCTCTGGAGTGTTCCATCAGCAGATGGTGCAAACTCCAGCCCGCCGCTAGAGATTTCGGCATGGCCGATTTGTTCGGCGAAGCACATGAGATCGGCAGGAGAGTTGAAAATGTAGATATCGGCCAGCGTTGGACTTAGATTATCGGCTGTTGACGACGGTCCACCCTGTAAGTGGTCGTTACGTGGCGTCATATGCAGTCGCGGACTGCCAAGTTCAATTGGGGTTGAAGTTACTATCCACTCCATTGCTGATATATTACACATAAGTACAACAGCAAAGAGTAACAGTAGAAGAAATAAAAACCGTATAATCTGGGACTTCTCCGACAATTCAGGTCCATAGAGGTATTTATACTGAGGGGTTATTACATAATGAGTCATAGAGCAGCATACGCAATGTAGTTTAAGCACCAAGACGAAAGTGGCAGATATGCCAGAGCAATCAGACTATTACCAGTGCACAATCTCTTACTATTGGCCAAACTCAAGGTGTTAAGTATACACTTAGAATAAAATCAGAACTACTTTAACTTTAGCTAAATGTGTGACTCAAAGATGCTGCTTGTAATTGGCTGGCTATACGCCAAAAGCATGCTGTTACGACCTAGCGTAATAGGTAAGGCTTACATTTTGAACCCCGGTTATTTACACCAATCACGCCATAACTCATACTGCGCCTTAAGCATTTATTGTAAGGTTCTACAGCAACCCCTGCAGATGCGTACATGTCTAACCACTACATGGCTTAGTGGTCTGATATGCTCTGTGAAATGTAGTCCCTCATCCCGGCTTCCCAGAGATAATCCATCTGCCGCGACGATTGCAGAAGCGATATCCAATTGACCAAGAAAATGAACCATGTTTGGTTAGACTCCATTTTGAGGCCTGCATAGAATGGAAATAAAGCGCATTGCAGTGGTACGTCTATACTCCCGATCCTTAGTCAAATGGTACAGGAGCCAATAAATACACTAAATTATCACGATATATCTCAACTTGAGAAAGGCTAAAGTACCTTGTGATTGATGTGGGCTACTTGTTGCCTAACTAAAACATCTAAGAAATAGTGAACTCACTGCTCCTACCGGTAAATGCATTAATCTTACCCGTGATAGGAGTCTTGCTATCTCCATAATAGCTCAGCCGATACGTGCCAGAACCAACGTCCTTCGCATCCTGCCATCCAGTCTCCCAAGTGATAGAAACCTGGCTTGACCCAAGCAACCCATCAAGTCTTTTCCACTCAAAGACAAGATCCCAGTCCTCGTCAGTCCGAACCTGAACCCACTTGGATCCGTCCTTCTTCTCAACTGCTGCATAAGTATCCTCCAAGTGAAGATTGTTTCGTGGATTGGCTCCCACGAATGTGGCGCTGATATTATCTCCGACTGCAAACTTTGATTTGCTCACGTCGTTGATGATATCACCAAACTTGGTGCCAATCTTGGGGTTATCGTAGACAACACCTGTAGTGAGAGAAATTGAGTTCTTTCGGTTATCAGGTGCAGCTGGACCAGTCGGTGGCTTTGAGGCGCCCTTTTCCTGTAGGAGGTATCCGAGATAGCTCGTAGTAAGGTTGATGTAAGCGTCCAGACTATGTCTGCCGTGGACAGTTGAGCCACCTTCGTAGCGCTGCATATCATATTCTTCTGGTGTAGTACAGTAATGAGCGTAAGTGTTGCCAGGTCCACCAGCGACAACGATGGGATCACTTCCAACACCACCTCTATCCTTAATCTCATCACTGATGCTCTTGCGCCAACGTCGTGAAGACATAGTCGTCAGCTCAGGTGCTGAGACGATGATGAAGAAGTTACCGACCCGTAACATTTGGATATCGACGATATTGGGAGCCCAAGCATAAGGTAGTGTAATCTCACCAGCGTCGATGAGAATCGGCTTCGGTGACTGACATGCGACCTGCTCCTTGGTAGGATCGCGCAGGAACTTGGATACAAGAGCCCAGAAAGGACTGGCATCAGGTTCACCTGAGTCACCCTGCTTGAAGTCGAAATACCCCGGACCGTCGGTAGTTCCAGCGGCGAAAGAGTATCCAAAGGCTGCGGCACATGTCTTTGCCGACGTGCCATTAGGAAGTTGAAAGGTAAAGTCTGAAAAGTCCTTGAATGAGTGATACCCAAGAACACTCTTTCCCGTAACTGGAACACCGGCTCCACCTTGCATCTGACCATATAGCTTGTCGGCCTGCTTAAAGACTCGACGACCAATCTCCCAGCATGACTTGGTGCCTCCGTCATTGAGTCCCCAGAAAGGACCTCGACCGTGACAAGTGTCGATTTTGCCATTGCAAGTCGCATCCTTAAAGTCACACTGCTGTCCTGAGCCATCTTCACACCAAGCCCCTTCGACATTTGGCGTAGTGTCAGCGACAGCAGCTTGGGAGAAGCCAGCCACGAAGTCATCGGTAGCTCCATTGGTTCCACGAACAGCTTGCTCAAGAAGATAGGCACTGACACCCTTGTTATCACCAGCAACAAGAGTGTTATTCATGTAAAGACTCGTGCCATGTACCGAGAACCACGTGAGCACCCCAGTCACTTTGCTGTCTGAGTCGCGAGTGAACTTGAGCATGGTCAGTTCCTTGTCGACCTCATCCTGGTACTTGTCCCGCTCCGACTTTGGATTGGCTTGATAGGCATATAGACTTCGATTGATGTTGACATCTTCGATGCGAATCTTGCCTACGCTGAGACGGCCCTTGGTAAGACTTTCATGCGCCCGCTTGACCGACAGAACAGCACCGTCAACGATGGCCTGATACGCTTGCTGATTGAATCCAAGAGCGGAGATCTGTGGCATGAGATAATTGTTCCAACCTGCTGGCCCAGCGTGTGAGTGCGTTCCGGTGACAGCGACATTGTCCGACGTGTAGACGGAATATTCCGATCCAAGAGCCGCGATGCCCTCAAGGATACCTCTGCGAACAGCAGTATCACCAGACTGAGTATCCAAGACCAAGTACACAAATCGCTCTTTGGGTTCATCTGGATTGCCCACGATGAAAGCCCGGGAGTATAGACGCTGGCGCAAGCCTGTTCCTACCTGCCCGAGGTCGGCATAGCCCATGAGATTAAGCTCGACGACAGGCCCAGTCACGTCAGCCTTGCCGACGCCGAGCAAGTATACATCACCAGAGTCATCAGCTCGCTTGGCGTTATCGTTGGGAGACTCTTCAGACGAAGGGACGGCGAGACATGATGCTGTCTGGAATAGGAAGGTGGTGAAGCTCAGGTATAACAGGAGCACATAAGAGAGATTGCGATAAGTTGCGGTGAACATCATGACCACCATAAAATTGGGTCAACGAAGGTTTTGGCTCTGCAAATCATGTTCAACAAATGTGCGATGCCTCGAGGTATTTATAGTATTTACTCATCATTCGGTGGTGGCTCAAAGTGATGCGATAAGTGGCTTCTCAAGCGGTCTGCTCAATGCAGTCGCATACCTTTCAGCTATCACATTCACAAAATCAAGTAAACTCCAGGCTTTTCAATTACTTACAGACCGTTATATATACCAGAACCGAGGCAATTACCCAAACGAGCCAAGAATATGCATCTCTGCCCCTCTGACGATATCTCGCATACGGAAATCCTACCGATTCGAGATATCAGCCATTTAACCGATCGCGTGTGGGTTGCAGTGCAGGTTCTGTTTTAAGGAGATGGCCCGGCAGAAGCAATTCACGTGGCAGCCATCAGTGCGAGAAACAAGGCACGAGAGACATCCCCGCATCTTGAAGTACCGAATTACTTTGAATGGGTCGAAATAGTTCGTAAGTAGTCAATTACCGCCTACAAGATTAAGCTTCAGGGTGACAAAATAAGTCATAGGAACATAATATACACTTTTTCTTTAATATAAACTTCTAGTAGAAGCTCAAAACCTTCCGCGATGACCAAAAATTCTTATTGCAGGCCTCAGGACTTTGCGAACGTGGTCAAGATAGGAAGCTGGATCTTTTGTTGAGATGGTGTGTGGGTGCTACGATACGTCACGCGAGGTTTCTTATCAGGAATAGGTCGATAGCAGCCCATGCATGCCGATCTAATCTAGGAATTATCTCTGCGGTATCCGTAGACTATGCATTCTCGCCTTCTGCTATCCTGGCCATTTCTGCTCGTCCAATTGTTCCGTAACGCTGTGAGTCAAACATCCACCGAATAATCGTCTCTGTAGCCTGGAACATCTCGCGCTGGCTCTCCTCAAGGTCTGGCGCCTGTACCGCGCTCGTGTTTGATAGGTCAATTGGCCTTTGCTCGAGGCTCATGTTAGCCATCTGCGATTGCATGGCCCATCCGTCATCTCGCATCTGTAATATGTCCTCACGCCGCTTCTTGAGTGCCTCTCCACGTGTAAGCGCTTCCTCCGGATAGTCCGGAATAGACTCCAATTCATTAATCACACTTCGCATGTCCTCTAGCATAGTATCTGGAACTGTCTCGCTCCATCCTTCAATGGCTACTTCGTAGCAACCCAAAGCCAGATTAATGGGAGATCCATCGCCAAAGTATCGCTGTGCAGGTCCAAAGTCTTGACGGAATCTGATATTGGGATCAGCGCCGCTACGCAGAAGCTTTCCGACAAGGAAATGATTTTGGAATAAGGCGGCTCGGCACAAGGCGGTACCCAATTTTGGATGATCAAAGTTTATGCACTCTCTGGCTGCGAAGGGTGAGTTCTCGGACAGCATGCACTGGACTTGCGCCGTGTAGATCTCTGCTTCGACTACGTTCTTGCGGGCCGGTGGTGAAGAAGCCAGGATAGTCCATGCGCTTTGTTGTTCGGCAGGGTCACCGATGTGATCGACAATAAAGTCAAACTGCTCATTGTGATGTAGCAAAGCCCTTGAATCAGATGACATATGATTTGGTGTTAGGAGATATCGTAGGATGGACAGCGATGTCTCCGTTCTTTGCTCAAGGAGCTCCTTGAAGATGGATATCCTTGGAAGGTCGGGCCCTAATTGATAAGGGCTGCCAATTTGCGCTCCATGCTGAATCAGAAGATTTGCTAGGTCAAGGTATCCATGTAAGATAGCTTCAACAACAGGCGGTCTAGTCCCTGCTGGATGATCCGTAACGGAAACCCCGGACGCTATGAGCTCTTCCGCTATGACTATCCCAGGGGGAGAAGAAGCCGGTCTCGCAGCTAGGTCATGGAGCAGAGTCCGTGGACACTCAGAATAACTTTCGATCTCACAGCCGTAGTCTCTCAACAGTCGAAACACCCTCTCGTCATTGAGCAATATCGCTTCGCGTATGGGTCGATTGTCAGGCGAGCCAGATGGATTATGGCCCATTTTTAGTAATGCTTCAACAATATCACGATTCCCAAGTCGAATCTGCATGCACAAGGCTTCTCCCGACTGTTCTCTGATGGAGGAAGTTGTACTCAGTAATTCTCTCTGCTCCTTAAAAATAGCAAGCGTTTCTTCGACATCGGAACGATATCTCGGGCCGTTTCTGATGAGACGGCTGAGCAAGGAAAACGTATCTCGATTGCCCGCCTTTTTCTCCTGAGTCGCCATCAAAAGAGTGAGATCGTCAAAACCATTAAACAATCCTGAAATTCTGGATTCATCATGATCTTGATATAAGAACAGTCGAAGGAAATTTGGTAATGCCAACATGGCGGCAAGCTGGATGGGTGACTTTCCGTCAACTTGAATCATGGGATCTGCTCCAAGTGCGATGAGAACTTGCGCGGCATGAATGTTTTGGAAGAGAACACATCGCCCGAGAGGCGTCGTCTGGATAGACATAGTTCCCTCCCAGTCGGCATGCGCTTTGAGGACCTCGGCTCTCATACCACCCGACGCAGCATCGATCAGGCCTCCAGCGCCAAGTAAGCCTCTAGCCATTGGCATCATCTCATCTTTCTCAAATCTCCAGAGCCAGTGGAGAGGGGTGTCTTGTCCCAGAGGATGACCTTTTGGATCCGCGCCGTGGCGAAGGAGCGCTAGAGAAGCGTCCAGGTGAGCATTCCGACAAGCACAGACTAACGGCGTTTCTTCACAATCTTGATTCGGGAGGTCGATGTTTAGCTTAAACGTGTTGATAAGATAGTCAATTGTCTTGGCTTGTCCGCGGGCTGCTGCCATGTGCAGAATTCCGTGTCCACGGCTGTTGACAAAGATCCTGTCGAAGTGAGTCACTTGCCGGGCATTCTCATTCATTACAGGTGAGCTCCTCAGTGACTGCTCATACGCTCCTCCAAGCTCCTCTTTCAGTTCTCGCTGAAGTTGTTCCACATTATCGACCGAAAATTCTTTCCTCAAGTGTCGAGGCAAGAATGCAAGTGAACCAGGAACACCACTAAAGTAATTCGCAAGCCTTCTTGCGTTCTGGTATGTTTCAGTTGCGTTCTTTCTCTGCTCATCACTCAACAGCGGCAAAGCGTCCTCGAGATCTTGGCCAGCCTGCCATCCTCCACGAAGAGTAGCCCACTGCAGACTAGACGGAAAGACGGCTAACAGCTCAGGTGGTGTTTGTCCCAGGGCTTGGCTCACGCGCCATACACATGATGCTGCGAGATATTCGAACCCGCTTGAATCATCAGACCCGGTCACTGCGTCACTTGCCGCTCTTCGAAGTGCAGCACAAGCTTTCGCGGGGTCGAGGGAGGTGCCAAACTCGGCGATGTGGCATCGGAAGAGAAACCAGGCTGCAAAGAGTTTATGGAGCTCTACATCGCGACTTTGGTCACCAGAGTCCGAGATGGCTTGCAGTGCTTCGAGGATGTGCTTCTGCTGTTGCCATGACAGGATGTTCTTCAGCTTCTCGGGCTCAAAGACGAAGCCTGGGTTTACTGGAGCTTTGACTAGGGGCCTAAAGCCGGGGCTGCAAAAGGTGTTAGCATAAATAAACATGCTTTTCAGGATATCTTACGTGTTGTTCTGAGGATCATAAGTAGCTCCAACAGTGCCTAAAAATAGGCCAGCGCCATCTGCACTAATCCCATGCTTTCCCTGATAGGATGTCAGCCCGGGATATGGAAGATTCTCCGCCTCATGATGGAGGATCGGAAGGAGAACTGTTTGAGGGGAAAAGGTCACTCACCGGAGGTTCATTGTCTTCAACTTCCTTCCACTTGCGATTCATTTGGTCGACATTATTCAAGTAGTCGTCAATTGCCGAAAGACTAGGGTAGTAAGAGATCAGTCGGGTCGCACTTTAGTAGATCTGGGGGAGTTTTCGCATACGGGATACCTCTCAGAGCAGCCTGTGCCTTGGCCAAAGACCTATCTGCTAGATTCTTTTGGATCGTCTGTTCAAGGACATATAGAACCATCTCCGTACAATGCTGGTTGATCTCACGCATATCAAAGTAGTCTTGGATCATTGATGTCGCTCTGTGTAGAAGTCGTCCCGACCGCTTTAATTGAGCCAGCGTTACCGAACCCGAAGGTTCTCGTCGAGGACTAAACTCATAATGAAGGTTCGCCAAATCGCCATCTGCAAATGTTTCGCAGACAAGTAAACCAAAAGAGTAGACGTCGCATAGCTTTGCGGCCTCTGCCGTGACTATGCCGTCGGTTTCCGGTGCCGCATATCTCGGCGTCTTGCAGATGAAGCGGTAAGAGTCGTGCTTCTCAGAACCATAGACAGCGCCTCCAAAATCAGCCAGTTTAGCTATATAAGCCCCATTGCTGGATTTGTCCGCGAATATTAGTACGTTCTGACGCTTGATGTCGCCGTGAATAATGCTGCAAGCGTGAATGATAGATAAGCCTTTCCCCGCATCGTACAGCAGCTTTTGCTTGACAGCGAACGAAAGTGGAGATTTCGAATTACTCTGGATATCCTCCAACGTTCCGTGCTCTGCATGCTCGATGACAAGTTGAGGATAGACGCTTCCGGATGCTCCGTTGGGTCCCCAACATAAGCCGACCAGGCGGACGATGTTAGGGTGATACCGGAGGGTCTCATGAAGAAGAGCGCGAATTTCGAGCAATACGTGATCCCAGCCTGCTTTGGGTAGATCATCAGATTGAGACTGGATTCGAACAGTTTTCAAGGCCACGACACGGTTTTGGCGGATAACTGCAGGTGCAGAGCTGATCGCTTGAGGGTTTGGGATCGCTTTGGCCCGTTCTACTGAGAATGTTGCCCCGCGGTCGATGAATGAGCGCTCGGTGAAGCCTTTGATGTACTGATCGATAAAAACAGTTTCTGTGTTGCGTCCCTTTTTTTCCAGGGATGAGACATGGGCCAGGAAAGTTGGGAATCTGTTTTCATTTCGAGTGAGCTGTTCCTTGATTTGTTCCTCGACAGATTGGAGCTGTACACTGTTTGCTGGTAGCGTTGAGGGAGCCTGCCATAAAATCTGGCTGAAAGGGTCAATAATTGTCTCCATTTTGAGTGGTTGACGTGATGAAGGTCTCAGGATGCGAAAAAAACGAAGTTGAGAATGAAATCTGCCTTGGCTCTGTGATGTCTCGGACGCTGCGCCTGCATAGTATGATAACGCTGATGCTGTGATCGTGATTGGCTACCCTAAGCCACGCAAGTTCAGCTCAGCCCAGCCTATTCAGTTCTAGGCCCTTTCGATGCATCTGCCACGTAAGAGTTCGATTTCAGGCTGCAATGGTTATGCCTTGATTAAAATTGCCTCATATGACTTGATATCAATCAAACAAACATTAAACACATCGGATCTAGCGGCTCAAGATACCAGAATCCAGCTGGCCAACCTTTATTCTAGCTAGCTCAGACCACTAGCCTAGCCACGATCCAGCAGCTCACTACGATGCTTGATCCAGGGTCCATCATCGCCCTCACGCAAATCACATACGAAGGCGCCAAACGAGCTGTAGACCTAGTCCTCACAGCGATACACTTTCCCAAAGAGTGCGAGGAGTTGTTTGTGCAGCTGAAGCTCGAGCAGTTCCGTCTGCAGTGCTGGGGTCGAAGTGCGGGGTTGGAGCAAGGCAGACTCATCGAGGCTCTACATCCGATCTTCCCGGAGATACGAAACGCACTTGACTGCATAAGTGCACTTTTTCAGGACTTGAATAAGTTGCAGGCAAAGTTTGGTATCGTGTCTACGTCTGTGGAGGATGTAGGTCACAGGCAAAAGGAACTAGCGTACAAGTGGAACGAAGAGCTACATAAGCAGGGCCTGGCACTTCCTGGTAAACAGGTTGAAGATGGGGCCCCGTCTCTGATCTCGAAGGAACAGAAGGCGTTTTTCCCGGTTGGGACCTTCAAGGTTAACCTACCAGCTCGTCTACGATGGGCATTAGGGAACAAGTCCAAGTTCCGCGAGTGCGTGGCCGAGCTGGAAAGATACACCAACAAACTGAACCAACTTCTACCAGAGCGTCAGAGTCTTCAGTACAAACAAGACTGGACAAGAGTGAACATAATAATCGTCGGAAAGGCTGATGACGAGAACACTGTTTCCCTCCTACGAAATGCCCTGGATGGAAGTCCGGCAATGGAAGCTTCACTCCGAGGGCTGGTGGACAGAAAATCAGTCGCTGCAGCTCCGAGTACTACAAACTTCCTCCGGGGCAACCCACAGCTAGACATGAGTGCTTTCTCTATGCGTCCGGGAATCCGGGAAAAGGACAGATTTATCACAACAAGTAAAACTACTGGTGAGCTGGTTGTTTTTGAAAAGAAGTCGTGGGATGATGAACGATCAATGGCCAACCGCTCTAAACTGCAGATGCGGCTTGGCCGACTTGTTGCGATGCTCCGTCCAGGCAGAAGTGACTGCATCTTAAAAGCTATCGGTTTTGCAGAAGATGAAGTTACTAAATGCTGGTGGATCGTATATGAGATGCCCTCCTTCATATCAATGAATCCTAACCTTCGTGTCATGACGCTTCACGAGCGGTTGGGGCGTCAATCTTTCCACCTGGCTCCCCTCGAAGTTCGGATGAAACTCGCCTTCTCGCTTGCATCAGCATACTCAGAGCTTTTTAGCAGTGGCTGGGTTCACAAGGCTATTAGCAGCCACAGCATCGTGTACTTTGGTCCTTACACTGATATACTTCGTCCTTCTGTAGTCGGTTTCGAATTTTCTCGTCAGGACACCGAAGAGTCAAACGTCGATGCCGCCAAGACGCCGGCACAAGTCGAAAAGAGCATCTACCGACATCCTGATTATATCGGTAGCGAGGCAATGAGATACAAGACACAATATGATATTTACTCGTTCGGCCTCGTGCTGATAGAGATTTCTTTCTGGCAGCCACTAAAAGATGTCTGTCCTTACGCCAAGGGGGAAGTCTTTGGGAAAGAAGAGGCGAAGAATGTACAGAAATGGGCAGTTCAGGTTGCAGACACGCAATTTGCATTCAGAGTTGGTACTGCGTATGCCAATGTTGTGAGCTGGTGTCTCAAGAGCGGTGCAAGAGTGAGCAAAGATCAGGAGGACTGGCATCCAGCATTGGCATTTAACGATCGTGTTGTTGTCCCGCTTTCTGGGATATAGCCTAATCTAATACATATTTCAGTTTGGCAAGTCCCTGTGGTCGGCAGACTAGTTGGAAACGGAAACAACGTAATGGGGGAGAAGCGCTGATGGGCAGTTAATGAATTGTGTTACGGTTAAGATGCGAGAGGAGCTAGCCCTCTCAATTAGCAGAGGTAGCTAAAACACTCCACTCGCAAGGTGTATACAACGACTTATACCGAACATTGCTTCTGAGTTTTGGTAGAACACTTATTCTGACCAGGATAATATTTTGTTCTCCATAACAATAGTTGTCCCCAAAACAGTTACTTTAGCAACTGCAACCATCACAATCGCAGCATCCATCATCACCATCACCATCACCAGTATTTGCGCCTTCTTTGCTGCCATTGGCCTTCGTCATCGGCTCTTGCGATTGATACTGATGCTCATACGCCGATCCAGCGCCCACGACTGTCGCGCCCGCAGTGCTGTACAAGGCTGTCCGCATATAAAACTGGAACGCCTTGATATTTTCATCCGGAGGAATAAGCTGTAGCTCGTGGTATGCCGTTTGGGTGTTATTTTCGAACCATGGAAAGTCGAGGGCGCAGTCTTCAGGCTGTTTGATGATGCGCTTCGCAAATTGCCGTGAGAAACTTTGACAGTCGTTGAAGCCGAGGACATATACGCCAAACGACTTATGAGCGGCTTGGCATTCCTCATCAACTCTCTTCTCCGACATCTTGGTCCAGCCGATCTGGCAGATATAGTAGTCTTGAGCATACGGCTTGCCCTCGCTGTCAAGGCTCTCTTGTCGAAGCCGCATCATCTCGTCTTGCATGGACCATAGCGCAATCTTGCTCTCGTAGTCAATCGACGGTACCAAAGACCCGACAAGATGTCCTTTTGGCAGGCTTTTGTACTTTTGTCGCGACGGGAGCCTCAGCTCGTATTTCTTGCCGTACACGAATAACGCCCAGTGGTATAAATGGCCGTCTTTAATCCGACGAGAGAACCACACATTTTCGCCTCTGCTTCTGTCCTGCTCCTGTGCCTTGCGTCGCTCGACCTCTTCCTCGAGTCTTTTCCTGTGCGCTTCGTCCTTTGCAAGGGCCTTGGCCTCGAGTGTATGGATAACCGACATGATGGGTAGAGATGCCGATTGTCGAACTGGATCTTTCGACTAGATTCTTGCGGGCATAAGAGGGAATACGCTCTGCCCATCCACCTAGGCGATTATTGTATCACAGGTGCATTGCATATTCGTCTTTGTAATTGATGCCCTAGCATGCTTACACCTGCCATTGCGGCACAGCTGGTAGATCAGCGGCCAATATGACCGCTTCTGGGTACTCCGTAGCCGAAGTGCTTATCAACCCCCCTGTTCTAGCATGACGCCAACTAATCAGGTGGTCGGAATGACTTGTGAACTGCACAGTGACGTTATGTTCCTTCGTCATGACCACCATGATGAAAAGCTTGATTTGTCGTTTAGCTAAGCGATAAGTGAGATTCAGTAACTGCTTCCCTTGCTCTTCCAATAATAGTCATAATTTAGCTGCCTCAACCATTCACAGCAAGACCTATCGTGACGTCAGCTATCAGCTGCTGCATTCTGGTCTTGTGACCGACATGTCGTTCGGAATCTTATGCCACCTTTTATCCTACAATCAACGCGAACGAACCACTATTGAGGAAACTCTGAAGACACAATACCCTTCATCGACAGACAATGCACGAAATCTCTCGACAACACACCCTGACTACGGTCAGACCAGTTCCATTCGATCAATCCGTATCACTCTTTGACATTCCCGACGGCACAAGAAGAATCGGACAATCTAAGCCGGGCACTCTCGTCCTGCCGGCCGTGTACACGAACCAAGGGAAGCTCCATCGACTCAGTTTTGACTATGGCGTCGGAATATATCTACAAGTTGATCTAGACGTGTCTAGGCTGAATGAAATCCATAACCACCTCTGGATGGTCGGGAAGCCGATGCCTGGACGACCGCTACATCAACATCTTGTGTACGGTCGGAAGATAGTGTGTGCTGAGCAGGCAGACCTTCATCTGCTTTGGGATGACTATCGGCTGTTTGTAAAGCCATGCCCCGATTATTTATTGTCATTTGACTTTTGGGAGCGATATCTGTGCGGCGGCGATGACAGCTTATGGGCTATCGCTGCCGGTATGGTCCAGTCATATACATGGCTGATCCAAGACAAGTCCGACTGGAAGGTCGCGCAGGCAGAGGGTATTCTTTCAGACTCCATCACCTGGGATCGCTGGACCGCCTTTGTCTCTTCTTTCACCGACCATCTTGAAGCAGAAGATCTCGATATCAATCCACGCTTTAAGTACGGCAACCTTCGGCTCCCACGGATCCAATGGATATGGCGGTTTCGCTCTCACACCGGGGTGGTACACGCATTCGTCAATGGATATCTGAACCCATATTCTAGTTACCGTCATTTCTTCAATCAGATGGTGGCGCCTATCACGGTGGCAACGGTTTATTTTGCGCTTATCTTGGCCGCGATGCAGGTCGGGCTGGCCACGACGATGCTGCAAGAGAGTGACGCATTCCAGAGCGCGTCGATGTGCTTTACTGTGTTGGCTATTGTTGGACCGATCGCAGTGGTTGTAGTTCTGGTGGCCGGGGTCATGGGTTACGTATTCATGTGGAATCTGTGTCACGCGGTGAGGTTAAGGAGGATGGAAAAGTTGGAATCCAAGATGTTAGGTAAACAGGAAGTGTAAATACAAATAGTAGTCTATTATCTTACCATAGTAATAGTGGTCCTAGCTATTATAAGTCGAGCAAAGAAAGCTGAGATTTCCTTGATAATTATGCCCATAGGCCTCTGGGAACTATTTTGACCAGGTCTGTCTGAAAGCCAACGTAATACCGAATCTCGTCCGTATCCCAGGGTATGGGGATAATACTAAGGTGATTCAAGAATGGCTGACCTCCGTTACGATAATTTACAATGCTTATTTGGGTTTCTCGTCTCTTCTGTACATTTTTCTTAAGACTGTACACAGCCACGCCGTCTGTAAAGTGCCTAGGGAGGCCTTTATAGACTCCGCCCTCTGGCGATTGTAGGAACCGACAGTTCCTACCAAGAGCTTCATGTCGACTATATCCCGTGAGAGTTTGAAAGCTATCAGAGACGTATACTATGGGGCAGTCTTCAAGAGTAATGTCGCAAACGACAAAGGAACATGACATGTCGATATGACCGATTTTGAACTGGGGATTTTTCCGAGTAGCAACCAGCCAGAGCACTCTGGCGGCGTCTAATCCGCTTGTGCTATAAATCTCTTTCAATCCGGGTGTCGTCAAATCGGCAGAGGTTGTAGGTATTTGGGCCTTTTCATTGTGATCTATGGACCCGGGGTATATCTTGGGAGAAGGCACATCATACGTAGATAGCTGATATGCCTCAGTAAGTTGATCTGTGGTTTGGCATGACTTCTTGTCCCCCTGTGACGATCCTGGAAGATTATGATCACCCGATAGGCTTTGGCGGTTGTGTGAAAGGAGGGCTAAATCAAACCCTTCGAAGGAGGGTTCTAAATCAGACTCGGACGGAAGATCCGTGACTGTTGTGCTATAATATAACCCTGGGGATTGTTTTCCAGCGAGTATCACTGTACTATTAATATCAGTGGGCTGATGTGATGATGCTGTACCATGCGTCCCTGCTTTTGTACCCAGTCCATCGTAGTCTTCCAACGGAAGTTGAGCGGGGGATCCAGGAAATGAAGCTGGAGGCGAGCCACATAAGGACTCGGTATATTCGAGAAAACGTTTCATTGCAAAATCGGCCTCTGTTCCATACCATTCGGAGCCCTTGCACCCTGATATGCTAGCCAATTCAATGCGGTCGTTATCCAAGGCTTGCAATCTTGATTTGATGTCTTTGAACTCCTCTTTAAAGTCTGTTTCGAATCTTTTGGTACGTTCATTCAATGACGCAATGGTAGAACTAAGGCCATAGATGTCAGAAAAGAGGATGACCACTGATATCATGGTGCACTTACAAGGTCATGGCACTCAGCGCCATATCCAACGATACTTTATATGTCGTAATCGTATCCCGAAAAAGCTGGATCTCCTTGTCTCTGAACGCCCAGGCCATTTGCTTCCAGACTCGAATTTGGATGGGTCCATCTCTCGCGGTCTGAGTGAAACCATGTAACAAGGCCGTGAACTCGTCGAATATGTTCAAGCAATTCTCTAAGGGTGCCTTCAAGCTGACGCAGAGTTCGAGGTGACTAGACAACCTATCCTGAACATTTGTGATATGGGCAAGGATCTCATATAAGGCTCTCAAATCGGTCGATAGCGCGGCGATGTCCTTTGGGGCATTTTGAAGGCTATCGATGAATTCGTACAATCGCTTGGAGCCATGTAGCAGTGCACCCACAATGCCAACGACGCTCGCTGTCACAGAAAGCGGATCAGACATTGTAAAATTGTTTGCTGTGGGAGGAACTGCTTAGGGTTGGTGGGGAAGATCTCCTTACCATTTGTTATTCCTATTTTCAGCCGCAGATATCGATTACTAGATATTTATCTTACTAGAATAATATGCAATACTGCATGCAATTTCTCTCCTTCTCATTGGCTGTTGGTCAGGAACGTCTCGCAGTCTGCCTTGTAAGACCGCCTCATGTGCCGCCTGGCAGCCTTGCTGAGTGCCTTGTTAGGTCTTTATGCATAAGCGACTGATTACGGGAGTACCATGTTTTTGCGCACAGTCCCCTTCATTTTTTTTCTTTGTAAACCTACACAACACCAACAAAATGGAAGTGACCGGCCTTGCCGTTGGTGTTGTCGGACTCGCTGGTCTCTTCAGCGTCTGTTTGGACTCGCTTTCTCGCTTTCAAACTTACCGCGATTCGAATTCCGAAACCCACGTATTGGATACCCGTTTCCGAGCGGCTAGGGCCCGATTTGAACAGTGGGGAGTCAGTGTTGGCATCTCCGATGGGCGGCTTCAGCCAGATCATCATCGTGGACTTGATAACAAAGAGACAGCGAATTTGATCGAGAGCATCCTGGAAATTATAGCAAAGACTATTTGTGATGAGTCAATTCTCCAGAGAACTCGCACCGGACCCATACTACAGAGCGGGCAGTTTCGCGGCCTGTCGCAGTCCAGAAGCAAGCGATTAAAATGGGCACTCGGTGGTAAGGACAGTCGCCTTGAGCAAGTCGACGTGTTCGAGAAGCTGGTGCAGCAGCTTTATAACCTGATTCAACCAGAGGACAAAGGCCAAAATTTTGAAGGATTGGAGAGCACAGCTTGGGTAGAGGATATTCGTCAAATGCTAACCAAGATCGAGGACGGGATCAAGTGTAAGTCTTGTCACTTAGCACTACCTTGTATACTTCGGCTAACAGAAGGAAGCTGGAGTGAAGCGCGACGTACTCTCATGGCTTGGAGAATCATCTCCAATTGACAAATACGATGATTCAGTCAGTCAAAGAGTCGACACGACCTGTGAATGGATATTTGACAGGCCTACGTTCAAAACGTGGCTTTCCCCAGTGGACCCAACCAAACCAAGCGTACTGTGGATAAACGGGCCTGCAGGGTTTGGGAAGACCGTTTTGTGTGCTCATATCGTCCATCATCTGACTGAATCTCTGGATCAACCCGTAACCCATTTCTTTTTCACATCCGATCATACAAGCCGAGAAGATCCCTTCTTTGCTCTGCGGTCGTGGCAGCGTCAGATTGCTGCCACCAACGACGATGCTTTCGAATGTATTCTTCGAGTCTGGGAAAACAGCTCTTCAGGGAAGGCTTCTAGAAAGGTTCTTTTGGAACTGTTGAAGGATCTAGCCACTACAATTCCAGGTTGCATATTCATCGCTGACGGATTGGATGAGTGCTCTCAATTGAGTAACGGAGACGTATCAGTTGCTAGGTTCCTACGAGATGTCATGGGCGCCATAACAGGTACAGATGTCAGACTTCTTCTCGTTAGTCGTGATGAGCCTGAGATCAGAGAGGCTCTCATAGAGCATAGACAAATTTTGTCAGAATACAAGGTCAGCACGAAGGATGTTCGGGCCGATACAGCAGCCTTTTCCCAGTCTGTCGTCAATAGGAAGCTGGGTGGTAAAAGCGAGGATATCCGGTTAGCCATATCAGAGTCCATGACGGATAAGTGCCAAGGGCAGTTTCTGTGGATCAAGATGCAAGAACAGTGTTTGCGAAGCACAATGAGCAAGAAACGACTTCACGAAGTGGTGGAGAATACACCTTCTGGTCTTGATCGCCTTTATGACCAGACCTGGAGTAGGATTATGAACATGCCGCAATGGGATCAAGATCGAGCTTTTTCTGTTCTGCGTTGGACTGCGTTCACATTCCTGCCCCTGACTGTCTACGAGGTCACCGAAGCCATCATAATCACTCAGTTTGAAGAACTGGATCTGAACGAATACCCCGAGAATATTGATGAAGAGTATGTTAGAACCGAGATAGTCATGATCTGTGGCCCTCTTCTGGAAGTCCACGGCCACATGGAGAACTCATCACCTGGAGATTGGACGCTTCGCATACCGCATTTCTCGGTGTACCAATACCTTGTCGAACATCTGCCAGCACCAGCCTGGATGCAAATAAACGGCACTTTACCAAGGAAACACGAGGAGATCCACCATACAGCCATAGCGCGGGCCTGTATACAATATCTCAGCTCGCCACACGTTTGGGAAGAAGACGTTCACTTTGACCCTTGTTCTAAAAGCTTCCTTGGCTATGCCGCTTACGCTTGGATGCAGCACGCTAAGTCAGGATTCATGGAACCATCACTTCTTGATCTTTCGAAAGCCTTTTTACTCAACGATGGAGTCCATTTTAACTCCTTAGTCAACTACTTTGCGACACACCAGAAGACAAGCTTGGCTGATACCGTATACCGGTTGCCACAGCTTCGCCCATTTGAATATGTGTTTTACGGAGGATGGATTAGCATGGCAGAGTATCTTATGGATGACTCAGATGTCAATGAAATTGGTGCTCACGGGCGATCACCTATCTTTTCGGCGTGCCGTTCCGGCTCAGTAGAGTCAGTCCACATGCTCATTGAACATGGTGCTGACTTGAACATCACTGATTCTTATGGCCGGACCTGCCTTCACATAGCAGCCCAGTATGGGTATGAAGACATTGTTAGGATTTTGGTAAAGTCAAAAGTCTACGTATCAACAAGGGATCATCGGGGCTATACGCCGATGCATTTTGCCTCAGTGTGGGGACACATCAAGTGTTACCAGTATTTGCTGGAGCAGGGAGCCGATGTCAACATAAAGAGTGAGCGGGGTTCCAACGTTGTGCATACCGCCTGTCTTTACGCTGGTCGGGCTGAGCTACTTAGATTCATCCTTCGGAATGCGCCTAACGATTTTGCAACGAAACATGATTACGCATATTGTTCGCCACTCGATCTTGTAAGTAGGTCTGGGGATGTCGATATGGCCAAAGTTCTTTTCGAGCATGGGGCAATTTCTTCCTTGTTCATTCCCAACGACCACGGTGAGCTACCGCTTCTTGTCGCAGTGTCTCATGGTCATGTCGAACTTGTGAAGCTGTTCCTGGAGCACGGTGGAGATAGGACCTTGTCTATTCCAAGTACAAATGGTGTAACGGCACTCCATTTTGCCTGTTCTGAAGAAGGGTACGATGACGTCATTGGTCTCCTTCTTCGTCCAGGGGTCGAACAATCGCTACTGATGGGAATACAAGAGGGAAACACACCACTGCACGTGGCCTCTGTAGCAGGACACGACAGTTACGTAAAGTTGATACTTCGATATCTAGAGCCTGAGCATCAACGTCTCCTAGAAATCAGGAACAAAAAGCTCCAGACGCCTTTACATTTTGCAGCATTCAACGGGCACAGCAAGATCTCAAGAACACTACTAGGATATGGAGCAGATCCTAATGCCCTTGACTGTCACAAAATTAGTCCATTATGGGTAGCATCATCTAAAGGTAATAGCGAGGTTGTTGACGAACTACTCTCGCACGGGGCAGGAAAGACCATTACAACTCCAAATAAAAATGGCAAAACACCATCATATTCCGCTGCCGCTGGCAACCACGTCGAAGTGGTCAAGATCCTCCTGGGGATCCCTGGCATCTCCGTTAATCAACAGACCACGTATGGATTCACGCCTCTCTTCATTGCTTCAAGAAACGGATATCACGACGTTGTAGAGTTACTCCTTGCAGCGGATTCGATTGACAAAGACAGTGAGAACTGGCTAGGGCTGACTCCCTTATTCGCGGCTATAGCGAATGGTCATCTGGAAGTTACAAAACTGCTGCTCTCCAAGGGAGCGTCTGTACAATCCCGGGTCAGCATTGGTCAGAACTTGCTCTGGTGGGGTCAACGTTCAAACGAGCCGGGCTTGGTACAGCTATTGGAAGCACGCGAAGATATCACAAATGCCTCTAATTGGAAAAATACTCCTCTGCCTGGACCATTCACCAGTCTAAAGCCACTCTCACAGAACGCGGAGACTGTAGCCTGTACGCCGGGCATGCTGTGCTGTCATGTTTGTACTTTGACCGTACAGAAGGATCAGAATTTTGATTGCTACGAATGCGAGGATTGCTATATGTTTCTCTGCTCAGAATGCTACAGTCGAGGGTTTCGCCTTTGTCCGAGGTCGCATATTTTGGTTTCATGCAATCGAGCAGGGGAAACAGTCCCGTTGATTTCTGAAGTGAGTAGTTCGCAATTTACTGCTGACTGAAGACTCCCGCTAGTCACCGAGCAGATATCAAAGTCCCATGAGTGCCAATGGCCAATCTTGACATCCATGGGCTCGAGCCATAGATGGCCCAAGCTTCAAAACTGCCTGGGAATACGATAGTTGAACGGCCGGAGACGTCTGAGTGCATGATGATGCGCTTATCGCTTATCATTGCCGGTATCCACCCAGGCATCTTAGCTTGGCCGTTTCATGAACCTGACCCATCTAAGCACCTCCAACCCCATCCTCTACTTCTCAGCAAACCTCCTTTCCCCAATAACACCGCTACCCATCATTCTGAGAAACACCACTTCAGATCAGGTTACATTCAGAAATGTCTACGTACTCCGATATCATTGACGGGGGCGATTTTGTTGACTCGGATGATGAATTTGAAGTCGAAGAAGTTTCCGAAAACCCCCAACGCTACCTCGAGGGGCTTTACTACCCTATTTGTATTGGCGAAACCTTGGCTGATCGGTATCGAATCGAACACAAGCTGGGCCATGGAGGCTTCTCAACTGTCTGGATGGCATATGATATGCTGGCGAAAAAAGATGTGGCGCTTAAGATTATGACGCCTGAAGAGTCAAATGAGCATGAATACAAGATGCAAACAGAGATCGCCAGAAGCATCCACCACAACTCTCATCTCATACTCTATGAGAACACATTTCTTCTCCGTGGATCAAGCGTTGATCACAGAGTTCTCGTCTTGCCTTTACAAAGTCCCAATCTTCGAGATCATCTCCGTCAGAAGCCAGTGGCAGTCCGGATGTCAGCTGCAAAGCAACTCTTGCAAGCCATCAGCCATCTACATGATAGCGGGATCGTTCATAGAGGTCAGCCAAGTCATTTCACCGCTGCTGGAGGATACTTCTTTCAAGGCACTTATGGAGGTTTACGAAGTGTAGAGCCCTTCAAGCTCGTATTTGACGTACTAAAAGACATCTTCCATAGTATATGCGCATAACATCTGCTGTCCCTACTTGATATATCTGGTTACTACATTGATGTTGATTAGGAATAGGACAAATGCCTGACCTGCTTTAAACATTCCGTTACCATTCCGTCGTCACCTTTTAGCGCTCTGATCCTCGACATGACCCCTGTTAGGGTCAGTATGCCTAGAGGACGAACCGGCGTTCAGACCCAACAGCGAAATTCAGCGTTGTAACAACCTAAAGGTCCGCAAACGGGCTAACGGTGTTTCAACCCAGTCGCCCAAGGCAGAGCATCAAAATCACGATAGTCAATAGAACGTTAATTCCTTGTAGATAAGGTAATGAGTGATCATCTCCTAATCCTGCCATGGTATGCTCCTGGCAAATCGCATAACAGTCCACCAACGAAGCCCTTTTTTTTCATTAACCCCGGCTTACTGGTCTCTATATTTTAGGTACTAAGATTCTTAGCCATCCTTTTCCAGTACGCAAGCGGGGCTGACAACCTGGGCAACCGCTCAGGTATCTATGAGAAATACCCTGGCCCTATTTGTTATCATGTCTGACACCGAGTCAACTGCCTATCAAAGCTGAGTGCTCTCTTTTTTAGCTAGCTCCACTGTTAAAAGCCTCCTCGACTTAGAATTGATCGCACTTTAGGACGCTGGAGATTATTCTTACAAGTCATATCCACGAGAGGTTATGTTTGTCACAAGCTAAAGAGAACACTCTCGGTACGAGATTCCTGTAAATAATACTTAAGGAAGTTGACAGCGATTGAAACACGAGGCACCCTTGGTTGGCGATCGTTACGTGTCTCAGAGCCCCTGCCGCGCTAAACCCGGTGAGAACAGGGCTTTGGTCTTGCGCCAAACTTGGCAGGGTCAGCCACCGAAGATGGTCCAGGGTACTTTTTGATCGCTGACTCTTGCATCTATTTTTTGGTCCAACGTACAGCTCAAGGAGGCTCGATTGATAGAAACCTTGGTAGGACGTAGTTAGGTTGCAGCGCTTTCAGTATTGTGAAGCTTGCTTGAAAAAACCATTCTTGTATAGGCAAGAGCTGTTTTTGTCGATTCCTGAACCTCAGTTAAATTGTAAAGCTCGATTTTGAAGATGGTAGACGAAACAGCAAAAGAGGGAGGATGTAAGATAAACTTATCTTGAGTTTAGCACAAGGATGAAACGAGAATGATTTTCTTATAAATGCATTCCAAGAAGCCGATATCAGTTTGGTAAAGGCCTAATAATTACAATATTCTAAACTGGCATGTCATATCTATAGCATCTTTGTTGTAAGACTGGGAATATTATCTATCTATGCCTAAGAGGAAATAAAAATTCTAACACGCCATAATTCACTAGGTATAACTCTCAAGCACCTAGATACAACAACCAAGCTCGCATGTCTTGCCCCAACCTCTGAGCAACCTCATGAATCTCTGGCAAGCCCTGCCACGATAACTCAACCGACAAATCTCCATCCTTCACAGAAACCATACTGATCTGAATCGCTGGCCCAACGACATTCCCACTCAGCGTAAATCTCGCACTCCCCAGCGCAAAACCATCATCCTCCGTCTTGCCATCAATAACACCAAGATTCGTGACCTCCCACGATAAGTCACGAGGTCTCTTCCCTAGGGACTCGAGGTAATCATGCCAATCAGATACAACCTTCATCAAGCCGACTACGTTATCGTTCACACCAGCGTCGAGGCGTTTTTCTATATCCTCGCGGATTTGCTGTGCTGCTTTCCAGATCGTGGGCTCTAGATCGCCGATGGGTTGGGCGGGCCAGTTGTTGATACGTGCTTGGGCTCTCATATCGCTGACAATTTCGTGGTCGAATAGGTGGGAGAGGGATGCGGTGCAGTTCTGAATGCTATTGTCGAGGTCAACTGATGCGTACTTTGACGGTCGAAGCTCTTTGCGTAAGAACTTTCGATGATCTATTGCTGTTGCGACTTGAAAGGCATCGGTGTTTCCCTCATTGATGTCAACGGATAGACAGGCTAGGACGATTCCGTGGATAAGGCCTGTAAGTGTAGTATCGTTCTCTCGGCATTGGCTAAGAAGCTTCTTCAAGGTAATGGCATCAATACTTATGGCCTTGAAGCGCGTGATGTAAGGATCAGCCTGGATAGGTGCCCACCGAGCTTTTGACTCTGCTGAGTGGAAGCAAGATGGACAAAGACCATGCCAGATCTCGGAGCAAGCATACCCCAAGCTCAAGTTATGTTTTGCCAGTTTCTCTTGTGGTTGGGGGAAGCTATCCTTACATATAGAAGTTGTTATGGCTCGAGATCCGCGTCGGAGTAGTGATGAAGAAAGCGGGTAGTTGAGGCTCTGGAGTAGTTTTTTCTGAAAGATCTTGGCACCCATACCATCGTGGTTAGCGTGGTTCCAGACATACATCACATCCACAAAGTTGTCTGTCTTGGTCCGCATCAGACATATTCTCCATCCAGGCCTTGTCTCAATACTCTCAAACTTGGAGTCGAGCTGATACCCCAGATTCGCTTCAAACGCCCTTTCATACTCCTTCAAATCCGGTCGGACATCCCAAGATACATGGTCTGCGAGATCAAGCGACGGGAGCGACACCCAAGCAGGCTTTTTCGTGCTCTCACCGACAAGACCAACTTGTAGAAGTGGAAACTGAAGCACCGTTTGGGCAATGGCTTGGTCGAAGCGTCGGAAGACTCTGTCCTGTTTATCGAAGCCGTGGAGGGATGGTGGGAGTGTGTAGCGGCATGTGAGGGCTGTACTGCAGTAGTAGTCCAGGTTGTGCAGCGCTGATTCGCACAACTCGCTAGGGTTATCAGCGAGGGTACTAGCACGCTATATCGGGATACTCACATCTGGCCGAGACGCCGAATGAAAGACTTTGGCTTTGGACTCGATGACATTTTCATTACTTGCTTGTAAACTAATTGTTGGATCTGCACTTGAGGAGTGAGCTTGTCAAAACTCTTTTATACCGAAAATGCCGTCAATTTAGTCAATGCTCCAAGCCTCAATATGATACTATTCCCAACGTCCTCGGCCCGCGGACTCGAAATTCGTCACCGTCTCGCGTTCAATCGGAGCTCGCTCTCGCTTGTCAAACACTTTTATCCCTGTCGCTTCTGTTAGCGGAGCCCCCGGCATAATAGGCTATCATTACGCAATTTGCACGCTGCGCCCTGTGTCCATTTCTGCTTTACTTATCTTAGTGGCCCCCGCTGACTCGGCAGTTAGCTTTTTGCTCGACGTCGCCCTGACAAACGATGCTATTTTCCCTCTCTGAAACAGGGTAGCACAAAGCTTAAACAGCCCCGAGCATCCGGGATTAATTGGTGAAATGATAGAGATGTCCTTCCGGAGAAGCCACTAGCGTTTTGTATACCGGGGGGATTCAAAAGGTTGATGGGGCCTGTCCCCATTGTGAAAATATCTGAATCAACTTACCTTAAGCTTTCTGATCTACTTTATCGTCTTTTTAATCATACGATCTCCTCGCTTGGGAATAATCGCGTGTTTGTTACTTTTTTGTTTCAACGGGCAGATAACCCGATTCAGTTATTAGCTTTGACTCGTCGGCCATGAATAGCACGGAGAGGACAGCTTACGTGGTGCAGTTTCTACAACATGAGGTTTCGAAGCTTCACTCGCGAGAAACATGCTGGCATCAATCTGGCGTCGGCGGTCTCCTAGCGCTGCTTCGTGCGAATCTCTCAGAGTCGAAGTCGTGGAATAGCAGTTTTGTCTCCGGGGGACCGTATACGTTCAACGCGACGGGCAACTTATTCACAGTGGACCTTGCGACGAAGCATTTTGATGTCAATACTGTTGATCAAGATACATTTATCACTCTGACTTATGTTCATGGTACGTTCCACTCTATGGGTGATTTGAGCCATACTGATGATTACAGCGCTATGCCTGATCATTGCATTCTTCCTGGTGTATCCCATTATTCTCCTTATGGAGTCAAGTACAGTGCTATGTGATCTGATCAATAAACCCGTCGCCAAGCATACTGTTCGGAAATGGGAGTCTGTACTCCGAGCCTTTGTGTTTACGCCTCTCGTCATCGCTGGGTTAGTGGCGGGAATCATCGCAATGGGTTCATCGGACCATTTCAGGACTGAACACGGGGTATGGTCCCAGACGAGCCTGTTGAATACCCAACTAATGCGTCTACCAGGTCATTGGACTAGTGACAGTAGTGTTTGCAGGTTTTGCATCACTTCTTTACTTCTTCGACTTCTTCTTTGGCTCAAGACTGGCCCGAACAGTCATGGGGATGCGGTGGCGTCAAAACCTCAAGTATTTTGACATGTTTGTCTGCCAAGTCATCCTCATGCTCTCCGGCTTCGTCTTAACAGATGGCTTCGACGACCTTTCCGTCATGGGCCTGTGCTACATCCAGATCTCCCTCGCATGGGCAGTATCTCTCGGTATGATAGCAGCGTTTGTCTGGAACAGCGCCATGGTCTTGATGACAGCGCAATGGTTCCTCGTCCGTCGAGCACGACCCGGCGCCGGCGGAGTCATCGCCAACGCCAACAACAGAATGTGGCGGCTCGTGCGCTTCCGCCGCCGTCGTCGTCAACCGTCCCCAGAGCCTACGCAGTCATACGAAATGGGCTCGTCGTCAGAAACGTCTGAAACTTGCGGTCGGCGGACGGACTGAAGCTGGGGCTGTGCTGGGATACTTATGGACGCCAAGCGTTCCAGGATAGATAGAGTTTCTGACATTTTCGGTTTAGTTTAATGATCAGTTTTTTTAACAATGTTTTTCGCTCCGGGCATCAAGGACGCCGTGAAGAACCCTTCCCGTGTGATAATTTCCCCCCAGCGGAGCCCATGTTCTCCGGGGCAGTCACTGTACTGTAAAACGCAAGGCTGAGATGCAGGGCCCAGACTCTGCTGCCAAGTTCCTGACGGGCGGAAGCCAAACTCAAACCACGGAGACTGTTTTTCGGAAAAGCCTGACATAATTGATGGTGTCTGATTCGTTGAACTGAGAGTTTGACCGCTTATTTTTAGAGTTGGACAACGTATCGGGCGCCCGCGGGTTGCCGACAAGGGTGCCCGCGGAGCATATTTTATGGGGGACTTTTATAAGGCTGCGTGCCGTTATCCGGACCCCGCGGGCGTTTGAAGCGTTGGCGCGGGCGGAGTAGTCAGCGGGAGTTGATGATCGTCAGTGCGGAGTTACAGCCGGGTATTATCACCAAAGTAAGGGTAATGAGATCAATGCGTTGTCTGAGAGAGGAATGCGTAAATGGCTTGCTCAGCCTCACCATCTTTTGACTATAACATGTCTTGAAGAAAGCTATGTTGGAGTAGTAAATCCATCGACATCAACACCAAAACAATTCATAGCAAGCATCTACTTTAAACAGCAAGCGATTTGCTCTTTTAAGATATATCACAACTGTCTACAGACTCAAAAGACAACTAAATCTGCACCTCGGAACCCAAAATGGCAGTAAAGCAAGAATCGAAAAAGCACGATGAGAAACACAAGGGACAAATCCCTGGACCAAAGGGTACATCACCTTGAACACCAATGCCGTCCATCACATGCTAATCATCGCAGGCCTTCCGATCATCGGTAGCCTTCTAGACATCGACCTCACAGACTCCCTGAAATCAATAATCGACATGGCCAAAGATTATCGTACGTCACCGACCACCGCTATTCCCGACCTTCCGCTTACACTACATTCGCAGCAAAACTATTCGCACTAAATATAGGAGGAAACACAGAGGTCATGATCTGCAGTCGCGAGCTCATGGACGAACTATCAGACGAGTCACGATTCCACAAACTTGTCGTCGGAGGTGTCGAAAAGCTTCGGCCTCTAGCTGGCGATGGCCTCTTCTCGGCGCAGCATAATAACCAGGAATGGGCTATTGCGCATCGAATCCTCATGCCGCTGTTTGGACCTCTAACGATCAGAGAGATGTTTCCCGACATGCGAGATATCGCAGAACAACTCTGCCTAAAATGGTTGGGTTGCTCGTCCTCGACGGAAGTCATGATGCTAACCTTTACAGGGCGCGAACAGGTTCCTCAGCTACCATCGACGTTGGAAACGATTTCACACGATTAACACTCGACACCATTGCCCTCTGCACAATGGGTTTCCGCTTCAACAGCTTCTATAGCAACGACAAGATGCACCCTTTTGTCGAGAGCATGGTCGCAGCTCTCATCGACGCTGAAAAGCAATCCTTCCTCCCCGACGTCGTGCAATCACTAAGAATACGAGCCCAATCCCATTTCAAGAAACACGCTGCTGTGATGAAGAGCACGTGTCAGGACATTCTCGACCAGCGACGGAAGCATCCTGTCGACGGTAAAGATCTCCTCAATGCTATGATGAGTGGCAAAGATCCCAAGACGGGGATGGGCATGAGTGATGGGAATATCGTCGACAACCTCATCACTTTCCTCATCGCGGGCCATGAGACTACATCTGGTCTCTTATCCTTCGCATTCTACTATCTCCTCGAGAACCCCGAGAAGCTACAGAAGGCTCGCGAGGAGGTCGACGAGGTATTGGGCGATGAGAACATCACAGCCGACCATCTCCCCAAGATGCCCTACATCAACATGATCTTCCGCGAGACTCTTCGTCTCATGCCCACCGCACCAGGGTTCTATGTCACACCGTTCAAAGACGAAGTAATCGGCGGCCAATACAACGTCTCCGCAGGCGATCCCCTGTTCCTCTTCCTCCACATGATCCACCGCGATCCCGAAGTCTGGGGCCCTGATGCCGAGGAGTTCAGGCCTGAGAGGATGGCGGACGAGCACTTCAATAAACTCCCCAAGAACGCCTGGAAGCCCTTCGGAAATGGTATGCGAGGCTGTATCGGTCGAGAATTCGCATGGCAGGAAGCTCAAATCGTAAGTACCACTTCTTATCGTTCTATCACTAGCTAACATTCGGAGGTTACAATCATGCTTCTCCAGAACTTCGACATGGTCAAGGCCGACCCCAACTACAAGCTCAAGATTAAGCAGTCTCTCACCATCAAGCCAGACGGTTTCAACATGAAGGTCAAGCTCCGAGAGGGACGCGACTTGACCAACCTCTTCAAGAACCCCAGTCTCGCAAGTTCCAAGCAACCCAGTCTCTCCAGCCGAAAGAACCTCAACATCTCACAGAAGGACCTGAAGCCCATTTCGATCTTTTACGGGTCCAACACAGGAACTTGTGAGGCTTTGGCAGAGCGGCTATCGGCGGATTGTGCGACATTCGGGTTCATGCCTTCTAAGCCTCTGCCGCTTGATGACGCTACGAGGAACCTGTCCAAAGATGGACCGAATATCATCTTGGCTGCTTCCTACGATGGAAAGCCTTCTGATAATGCGACTGAGTTTACTAAGTGGGCTGAGGCGCTGCAGCCCGGGGAGTTAGAGGGCACTCAGTTTGCTGTCTTCGGATGCGGTAAGTCTTTCGTCTCTTCATATCTCACCTCCATCTGACGCTTCTTAGGCCATAAGGACTGGGTGTCAACCTTGTATCGCATTCCCAAGGTTCTCGACAAGTGCTTAGCAGACGCTGGCGCCGATCGTCTAGTTGAAATTGGTCTCACCGACGCTAGCACCGGCCGTTTATACCCCGACTTCGACGACTGGGCACATAGCAAACTCTTCCCCGAACTCGCCAGCCGCCACGGTATCACTCTTGACCACGAGCCTGACTCTCTCGAACTCAGCGTCACTATCAACCAGTCCCAGCGGAACGATATCGGAGGCAACTTCAAGAGGGCCGAGGTCGTGGAGAATACTCTTCTCACTAGCCCTGGTGTTCCTCGAAAGTACAGTCTACTCCTCAAGTTACCGAAGGATATGGCGTACACTCCGGGTGATCATGTCTTGGTTCTGCCTAAGAATCCTCCTCAACTTGTGGATCGGGTCATGACTTGCTTTGGTGTAGATGATGATACTGTCTTGACTGTGTCATCCCAACGACCGACTTTCCTTCCCACTGGTACTCCCATCCTTGCTTCGAACCTCTTCAGCACACTTGTTGAACTGTCCCAGACAGTCAGCCGCACCAGCCTCAAGAGACTTGTGGACTTTGCAGGCAATGATGAGACCAAGGTTGAAATCCAAAGTCTCGCTGGTGATAGGTACGACGCCGAGGTCGACCAACAACGCATGTCCATCCTCGACATTCTCCGCAAGTACCCCTCCATCAACATGCCCCTATCAACCTTCCTCTCCATGCTTCCCCAGATGCGTCCCCGCACGTACTCCTTTGCCTCAACACCAGAGTGGAAGCCCGGCCACGGCTCACTTCTCTTCTCCGTCGTTGAAGCCACTGAAGCCAGTGGATCATCGCTTGCACGCCCAGGCGGTCTAGCTACCAACTACATGGCCCAGCTTCGTCCCGGAGACTCTATTCTTGTTGAGCCTCGACCTTGCAGAGTTGAGCTGCGCACTGCCATGACCGCTGAGCTCAACGTTCCTGTCGTCATGATCGCTGTGGGCGCCGGCCTCGCTCCCTTTTTGGGATTCATGCAGAAGCGATACCTACAGGCTCAGAACTCAGGCCACTTGTCCAACTCCCCCTGCACACTCTTCTTTGGATGCCGTGGTGCTAAGATGGATGACATCTGCCGCGATAAGCTAGATGAGTACTCCCGTGCAGGTGTTGTATCAATCCATCGTGCCTTCAGCCGCGATTGGGACTCGCCGTACAAGTATGTTCAGCACTTGGTGGCTAAGCACGCTGATACCTTGGCGCGACTTTGGGGACAGGGTGCTATCGTAATGATTTGCAGTGGTAAGAAGGTTTCTGACGATGTGTTTGATGTTTTGGGCCCTATTCTTCATAACGAGGATAGAAGGTTGAATATAACCAGGGCGAGTGACTGGAAGACTTGGAGGGATGGTGTTAGTAAAGAGCGATTGATCTTGGAGGTGTTTGGCTAGGTTGGCTTGGTGACTAGTGCCTTTGTTGTATAGTATAGCATTGCGGGTTTCTTTCTTGTACTGTGTAGATCAGTATAGACTTCATTTAACAACACTTCATTGTGCACACCATCTCTTCTTAATCTGTGAGACCATACTTTGGCGCGTTTCCTACCATTCTCTCTTTTCCTGGAAGTAGTTTGGTCGTTCTGCTTAAGTAGCAGTAGTTCAAATAATATTTCCCATTGGTGACAGCCAACTACTAGACCCTAAAGTAAAATTGCTTAACCCGCCACAACACCCAAACTGCATTTACAGAATGTATCTGAAGTTCTTGTTCTGCATATCAGTCTCATCCACCTGAAGAAGTGTCCCATCCTCAGTGAGGTCGACCTGTCGAGACTCCTCGGGATCTCTCTTAATGCCCTGCTCATTATCGCGACGGCGGTTCTCCCAGGTAAGGTAGAAATAAATACCCACCACGAGAGCAATGGTGATGGCATAGCAGACCATGATTGTGGTGTAAGCAGTCTGTAACGATTAGTGACGTCTCATAGTGGCAGTAGTATTACTCACATGGTAGCCGGGTGCCTCAGTGCTGATAAAGAACTGAGGTCCACTGAGGTTTCCAGCACAGTATCCCAAGAATATCATGGCCATGACAGTGGACTTCTTTGTGAAGCCAGCAATGTTACTAGCAGACAGTGACAGCATGAGAGGGAACGCTGGTGCAACCGCCATGATGAGCCAGAAGCCTGCCAGTCGGGAGAGTTTCTCAGCCGTAGGGAGGAGCTTGATCATCAGAATACCAGCGATGGCCATCAGGTACGTCAGAACAAGAGCAATGTGTCGAGACTTGCGGACATATGTCGTGAAAACAGCGACAAGAATGACGGTCGTAAGTTGGAAGGCTGATGCAGGGAGACCCATGAGGATAGTCTGCTTCTCATCGTAGCCGAAGCTCTTGATGACAATAGTGCTGAACTGTTGTCGCATATCAATATCGCGCTATCATGATCGTAGAAGGAATACTCACGCTGGTGGTTCCACCATTGGGAATGCAGATGATAAAAGAGAAGAAAAAGAACCACCAAGACTTGACGTCCTTCATAGTCTCGATAAACTGCCCGCGATCCCACTTCTTAGTTTGAGTAGTTCTCTGGAATTTCTTCGGTCGAAGAGCAGCAAACTCTCGCTCAGAAGTTGACAGAAACCCAGCGGTCGCAGGGGAATCAGGCAGGAAGAAGAATGTCAAGACAGACCAAGCAATGGTGATGAGACCAAAGATGAGAAAGAGCATCTAATCAAGTCAGCAGAGTATCTAGTCATCGCAAGAGTAACTCACCTTCCACTGCTCAATAGGCCCATGGTAGCTCAGAATGCCATACGCAATCATAGCGCCAACCATGCTCGCCGACGCATTCCCGGCAAACCAGAACGAATGGCGCGATACATGCTCATGAGGCGTATACCACATTCCCGTGATGAGTGAGAACCCGGGACTAATCGCACTCTCAAACACACCGAGAAAGAAGCGCAGAACCATGAGACTAGCGTAATCATGCGCGACGGCGTGAAGAGTGAGGATAACGCCCCAGATAAACATGAGTACGCTCAGATATTTGCCGAGAGGGAATTTGACGAAGCCGAGGGAAATGGGGTATGAGGCGACGAGGTAGCCTATGTAGAAAATGCTCGATGCCCAGCTGAATTGCTGGCCGACGAGTTGCTTTGCTTGTTAGTAGGCTTTTTTCTTCAGCGTGATGAGTACATACCAGATCCTCTCTTAGACCAAGAATAGCGCTATACGCCAAACTCGTCTCTATACAAAGTCAATACCCGTATATTAGTTGACACAATAAACGTACTATCCAAATACTGCAATCCATAGCTGACGATAAGCAACGGCATAAGTCTGCACAATTAGCTCTGAACACCTGTCAGGTCTGGTAGCACATACCTCATATCAATCTTCCTCACAAGCTTCTTCTCCTCCTCCGCGGACAACGTATCAACCGTGCCGTTCGCATCGATATCCATCTCATACGAAGGCGCCGACTCTTTTATTTCTTTGCCCTCCATGATTAAAATTGCGATGTTGCAGGAGTGAAGAAAAAAGAAGGTTAAAACTCAAAGCGTTGGTGGTTTTGAGTCAGTGTCTGGGCGCAAGGGCCCAGTTATATTGCTCTCCTTATCATACCCGCGCTAGCCTTGTTCTGCTTATCAAATTCGGCTCCAAAATCTGGGGTCCCTTGTCTACTACCCCAGATTTGTTGCGTGGGCTGTGAGTGGCCAGTTTAATCGACGAGATAAGCCACGCTTTTTATCGAGGAGATAGTGAAGCTGGAGGGTTGAAGGTATCAATTCATGATGCTGTAGTCTGCTTGCTAACTAACTCGCGAACCGCCTCCATCGATATTCCCTTAGCCGACAGTGTCTTAGCCGATACCACGAGATTGTAGACGCCCTTGATAACGGGGTCTGAAATACTCGCCGAGATCCAATCTCGGTATACAGGGTCATGTGTTTCGATTCCTCCGATCAAGAGTGCCCATTGGAAGCGCTCCAGGAGCTGTACTGGTCCGACGGGAATGGTGTGGTATGCTGCTGAGACTAGTTCTTGAAGTGCACGCTCAATATCAGCTGGGACTGGTGTCTCGCCGAAGAACGTGTCGCGGCTCCGATGCAGGTAGATCTCGAGGGCGTGGAAGATAGTCACAGCTACGAGGGCCATCAGTGGTGGTTTAGTAGATTGTTGGGCACAGTCTCTTGATAAGGTGAAGAGAAAGTTCTGCTCCTGTACGATGTCAGTATACGGTGGTCTCATAGATCACTATCAACTTACCTCTCGTATCTTGTCCAGTTTGGTCCTAATCTCCAGATCCTTCCCAAATACAGCCAGTTCATTACTCTGGCTATACACGTTTATCTCGTATTGTATCGTAATTAAACTGAAATAGACATCCAGAATCCTTCTCTGACTCGTCTCCGGCAGTGTCTCAGACCTGAACCACGTCTCCGTCTGTTCTGGCAATATCGGCATGCGTGACAAAAGCCATATTCGCTGCCTCGTCTCATGCTTCTGGCTAACATAACCCGCAAAAGCAGAACCGCAGCCGAAGAAACCACAGAATACATCGCGATCATAGATATACGTTAAGATGCGCGATAGCGTAACAGGTTCCGACGTCCCCGTGCTCCCGCTAGAATTGGCACAGACCTCATCTAGCGAAAACGTCGTAACATACGCAAGAATCGAGTTACTCAACTCTCGTAATCTCTCCACTTCCAACGGATCTCTTCTCATCCAGAACATATAAAGATACAGAAACGACAACATCATCGCGACGTGGTTCATAGGCGATAATGTCACGAGCGCCTGGCTTAAAAGCTGCGACCCGTTCTGGAAATGCAAATACGACTCCAAAGGCGGTCTATGGCTGAAACCATGATGGATGGCTAGTTCGCTGTGTGAAAAGGCCAGAAGGAAATGCAACGCCATGGGGTTTTGGACTGCAAAGTTGAGGAAGATGGAGTGTGCTGATAGAGCGGCTTTGCGGGTTGACTTCATGGGTGCGAGGACGGTGGAGTGGAATGTCATGGCTTGGACATCGTCGCTCCCGATTGAAGGGGCGGGCTCGGTTGGGTTTGTGAAGGAGAATGAGGGGAAGAGGGAGAGGAGATCGAAGGAGGGAGTTGGGTATAGAATGAGCTGTGATGAGTCGTGGGGGTATTGAGGGAGGGCGATGGGGTTGATGATGTCTTCCGGTGGTATGTCTGGGAAGATCGTTGGTGATGCAGATACCACTTCATTCTCCACGGGTAGAACATCAAACGACATATCAACCGGCAGACCCTCAGACAACTGCAACTCTCCAGACGGCGTCAAAGCAGGCGGCGTAACACTCTGCGAGCCCTCACTGACAGCATCATCAATCTTGGGCACAATAGTCGGCGGCGTCCACCTCTCCCTCTGTTTAATCGGCCCCAAGCCTCTCCTCCTCTCCGCCAGCGGCTGCATCTGCGTCGCCCATCTACACTCGAGTTTGAGCCTCACGCAGCGATTGCACTGCGGCCTCGTCTCGTCGCATTTGACCTTTTTGGTCAGACACGTCAAGCAGCCTAGGCTAGGTCAATAGGGACCGCTTCCGGTTTTTCCGGGGGGCCAGACTCACCGTTTTTAGAGCGGCCGCGTTCTACGCGTTTGCGCTTCGGGGGCTGAGCTTGGCGGGAGGAGGAGGAACTGGATGCATTCTCCATGTGACCTAACTTGGCTTGACTGGGGGGAGACCGGATGAGAAGGTCCTTGTCGAATGAGTGGAAAGGAACTGGATGGCATTAGTTAATCGATCGGCTGCTTTGACCCTTTCTTTTTCGGTCGTTAATCTGAAAGGACGCGACGCCCGGTTCGGCCCCGCCTCTCGCAGCTGATATGTCGTCGATTAAACTGGCCAATCACCATCGCATCACTTTCGAAACTGTGATACGACGAGATGTGAGTTCAACAACGAACAGTTTATTGAGTCTTTCTTATTCCCTTCTTATCTCGTACTCTTCTGTTCCCTCTTTTCTATCTCTAGAATAATTCTTATCGTCAAAATGGGCAATTCCATCTCTTACACCACCTCAGACTGTCACGTCAACCTCCCAGACTCTGGATCTCTCAAAGGTCTTCAGTTCGATTCCAAGTCCCGTCGCTTCGCAGGCGTTCCCTACGCTCAACCCCCCGTTGGAGATCTACGATGGCGAAAACCTCAGCCTTTTCCAAAAACACATCAATATGAATCCTTAGATGGTTCGCCTTTTGACGCAACACATTTTGGACCTGTTTGTCCCCAGGCGAATTACTCTAAGAACGTCAGCGAGCATATCCCTAAACATGCATACAGCGAGGACTGTCTTAGACTCAATATCTGGACTCCTGTGCCTGGCCCAAACGAGCTGAATAAGAGATGGCCTGTCATGGTCTGGTTCCATGGCGGTTGGTTCCAGGTTGGAGATCCAAGTCAAGAAGAGAGTATGGATCCTACCGAGCTCATCTCAACCGGCGGATTACAAGCTGTATTTGTAGCCGTTGGTTACAGACTCAACGTCTTTGGCTTCCTTGCTGGCCAATCTCTTCTTGAAGAATCTAACGGAGAAGCTGTGGGGAACTATGGTCTTTGGGATCAGCGTCTCGCTATGGACTGGGTATTCGAGAACATCTCTGCTTTTGGAGGCGACCCTGACAACATCATCCTGGCGGGACGAAGTGCTGGAGCTTACTCTGTTCTCTCACAAGCACTCTATGACTTCCGAGGCAAAGACTTGCATGGTCGTTTTACAAGAATGATCATGTACTCCAATGCTATTCCCACGCAGCCCAAGACTGTTCAAGACTGCGAGGAGCAGTTTGATGAACTCTGCGAGTACTTCGGTATACCTGCAGACACCAGTGGCGCAGAGAGGCTACGTGGTCTGAGAAGTATCAATGCTGATGATCTATCTTCTGCTATCATGGATCTTAGGAACCATACTTTTCGTCCCGTCACAGACGACCTGTTCATCCACTCGGGTATCTTTGACTACTATCGCGATGGGTCATTTGCGCGCGAGTTCAAAAAACGTGGGCTCAAGCTCTACATAGGAGAAGTTCTTGATGAAGATACTCTCTACGCCGTCACAAACCCTCCTGATCCCAACATCTCTTCTCTCGAGATGCAGATATCCAATTACTACCCGCCTCACGTGACAGATCGTCTCCTCAAGCATTACACCCTTCCGCAAACAAAAGACAAAAAAGCATGGCAGCAGATCTTTGGGCGTATCATTGCCGATGGCCAAGTCAGAGCTCCATCAAGATACCTGGTCGACAATCTGGTGCGCAATGGCGTTGACATCAAAAGTGTTTGGAGATATCTCATTGCATATCGCTTGTCGTTCATAACGAATGACGTTGCTCCAGCCTCGTTTGGTGTGAGCCATGCTATGGACAGGCCTATATGGAAGTAAGTCATGAACCTCAACGTAGATCACTATATTCCAGCCTTGCTAACATGGAGCAGTTACTCTATTACTCATGGACCGACGCCCGCGGAGAGGGAACTTATGGATGCGTGGATAAGGGATCTTAGGGCCTTTGTTTATGATGAAGAGGGATACACATACGGCACCGAACTTACTACAGAGTACAAGGTTATGCAACCGCGGGGAAGTATTGCCATTGAACAAGATGGACGATGGGAAGAGCTTCTACGGGTCATGGATATCTTTAGTGCATGATGGTTACACTTTGGTGATATATTACTTCAACAGCTCTTCTGGTGAATTAGACAGACACTCGCAAAAGTGGAGCTGTACCTCGCTGTTCCCCTCCCAGTATGGCGCCTTGGTCTCAGTCTGGGCAGCGAGATGGAGCCAGCCGACATGCACAGGAAGGATCTATGTGCGGCTCAACCCAATGGACGATGTCTCTTCTTGATCATCTGGCCAACTGTCTACAGCGTACGGCACTCAGTCATCGAGAGCATCATATAATAGATGGAAACGGTCCACTCTATGCCCAATCACCCCAGTGCTAGCCCGGTACTATCCCCAGGTTTCAGACATGGAGCCGAAGTAGAGGGGAAGACAAAAGTCTTTACTCTTGCGGCGTAGAACCAATGGTTCAGAGCCGCGAGGAGAGGCATCCAATAAGAACTAGCCAAAGCCGGGTCTAGGGGAAGAACTCCGGCTTTCCTAGATTCCAATTGGAGATGCGAATCCCTAGATTCCCCCGCACTACCCCAGGTTATCACTCTCATCTCAAATGAGAAATGCAGACTGCAGGTCCTTTTTGTTACCATGAATCAACCACTCGACTCATGACTATTATCACTGCAGTCTACAGCTGCGTCGGCATGTGGACATCCCGCTTCGGTCCAAGGGACTCCACTTTACCGCACCATTTCCAGGACATCTAACTACATTTCTGCATCTTCGGGATAGTATTATGTCACTATGCCGATAGAGCATTGGAGTTTACAGGACTCTTTTAGCCGGAGAAAGAGTTTCAACCAATACATAGACTGGTTCGATCAAGGGTAAAGTGATATAAGACGAAATGAACTTGGCATCTTCGGTGCTAAATAGACCGAGAAAGCAGGCCGTAACGGTCTAATATAATTCTATAAAAGGTCCAGTAATGTCTGATTCCCTTAACTACTCCCAACATAATAACTCTGGTTCCTCTGCAGCCCTTTCTTCACCTTGACTCAATCTCCAAAAGCTTGATCCACGGACCACGCCTACCAACAATGAAGACTTTCCTCGCATTTGCTTCTGTTACAGCCTTCTCCTGTAGCTTTGCTACCGCCGCTCCGCCTTCCAACTACCTCAACTGGAAGACGTTTAAAGCTAATGGAGTTAACCTTGGCGGCTGGCTGCATCAGGAAGCCGTAATCGATCCCAAGTGGTGGAACCAGTACGCGCCTGGTACACCTGATGAGTGGGATTTTTGTGCAAAGCTCAAATCGCAATGCGGTCCTGTTTTAGAACAGCGATACGCCTCTTACATCACGAAAAAGGATATCGACACTATGGCTGCAGCAGGGATCAACGTTATCCGAGTGCCGACTGGATATAACGCTTGGGTCACTGTTGCAGGATCCCAGCTTTACAGTGGAAATCAAGCTCGCTTTCTCAGAACAATATCTGACTACGCTATTAAGAAGCATGGCATCCACGTCATCCTCGACATTCACTCGCTCCCTGGAGGTCTGAACGGCATGGGGCTGGGTGAAAAGGAAGGGAACTATGGCTGGTTCCAGAACCAGACCGCTCTTGAATATTCTTACAAGGCGGTCGACGCTGCCATCCAATTCATCCAGGGATCCGATGTTCCCCAAGGGTTTACCCTGGCCCCTGTCAACGAGCCGGTTGACAATCGAGATATTACAAAGTTTGGCACGCCAGAAGCATTAAGTGATCAAGGGGCTGCTTGGGTTCTTCAGTACTTCCAAGGCGTCATTTCGCGCGTTGAGAAGGTCAACCCCAAGATACCCATCATGCTTCAGGGTGGCTTTCGACCCGTTGACTACTGGGCCAAGTACTTCGCTGCCAGCACTAATCTCGTCTTTGATGTCCACAACTACTACTTCGCTGGCCGCCCGACTACGTCGCAAAATATTGCGGAATTCATCTGCAGTGATGCCAAAAACACTGTTGGTACTGCTTCACCAAAGTTCCCTGGTTTTGTTGGCGAGTGGTCCATCCAGGCTGCAACCAACAACACGTTTGCCAGTCGGGCGCAGAATCTCAACACTGGCCTCAAGGCTTGGGCTGCCTATACTCAAGGAAGCGCCTACTGGACTTGGAAGTTCTTTGGAAATGAGTCGGTTGATGGCGAGGGTACCCAAGGTGATTACTGGAATTACTCCGACTTTGTGAAGATGGATATAATTGACCCATCATTGGGGGCTCCTTGTAAATGAGACGCCTCCAGCCCTACTACTCTGATACACTTATCAATACACGTGTCGCTATGCTCCTAACCGTTAAAATGCAATTTTTTCCTCGGTGTGATTTCTCTAGACTGTTAAAGACAGACAGTCCCTCCATTAGGTCGACACCAGACAGAATACCGGCCAGATGGAATTGATGTAGAGCTCGGTCCAGTTGATTCCTTGAGAGACCACGATGCTCCCGCGTCGTCCCGTATTATAAGCAACAGTCTGTTTAACTTCCCCATCGCATAGTCTTTTGCCCCACTAGGATGTGATGTGATCACGTAACTCAACAAGCTAAATTCTCACCAAGCGCTACCCATCAGAAATCTCAGCCACATCATTGGAAAATCACAACAGACCAGAGTTATGAGTCAATACCAAGGAAGCATCTGTCCCACGTTTGGGGCTTTGCCTATCGAGCAGTATCTTCTTGTAAGTACTCTCTTCTAAGGATTATTCACTTTGCTTGACACCTCGGCCAGAGGAAATGGGACTCAACTTCATCCCTACCTACCAATCAGCAGCGAGACCAGCTTATACAAGCCTTTCTGCGTGAGGATGATATCTCAGCTTTTACATCTTCGACTCTTGATGTTATCTCAAACGGCAAACAAAAATTAATTCACAAAGTTATCGTTCCGTGGCGATCACAGAAGCTTCGTCGTATAGCAGAGAAATACCTCCCTGGTAACAACCTATATGAGAAGTTGGTCGTCTTACGCACATTCTATGGTGGAGTCAATGACGATGCCAAGTTTCGTCGATGGATTTACGACGCAGCAGCTGCTTTTGAGACGATCCTCTCAGCGAGCTGTTCAGAGATACCGAAGATCACTGGTGGCGCATCCTCGACGATGCTTCACTCTTCGATACTGGTGATCAGGGCTGAGAGAACATATATAATAGGTTTCCGGAGCTCGCTTCACCAGAAGTCTGCCGTACCTTCAATGATGGAGATATAGCAGAGGTCAAAGAGGAAGTATCAGCCGTTGTAACTTCACGAGAGTCTGAAGAGGACGACTACGAGGATGCTATTGCTCATGTTTCAGTTTCCAGTTGCTGGTTACTGGTGTTTGATCGAGAGTCGTTTGAGGATGAAGAAGTGCTTCTCGTGTTTAGGGAAAAGAGCGGTAATGTTGTCAGGCAATCTTCCATTAAACCAGGGGGTCTGGAACATATTCCTCACTACATCATGCGTGGATCAATCACCGAGTCTGGAATTTGGCGCGATGCAGAAGTTGGGGAGAAGTACAAAAGCAAAGGAAAGACAATGAGAGAGATTTTACCTGGGATGATTGCAGAAGCCGAGTAAATTCACGATTGTTTCATGAAGCTAGGATTACTTGGTACTGTATTAGATGGGGTAACTTTATCACAAAGCCATTCTATACTGAACAAACTGGCTCTCAGCAAGAGTATCATAAAGCTTCCGTGCCGCAGTGTTATCATGCTTGGTAACCCACTGCACCCTCATAAACCCCTTCTCCCTCGCAACATCCGCCACAGCCTGCGTCAACTTCCTCCCAAGACCCTCCCCACGAACTTCCGGGTCGACAAACAAGTCTATCATGTCAACACCACTCCTCAAGCGACAGTCTTTACTTACCGTTTAGTAAAAGAATCTGCTTCTCGCTCCAAGGCGTCTGCTCCGGAAAGAAATGCGCTATCCCAACTAATTTCTTCTCCTCCTCTTTAACCTGTCGAACGACCAGCGCCTGCAGTCCATTCTTCTCCTCGATGATGCGGTCAAAAGTTCGTGCGTATTGATTCTCGTCGATCTTGGATTTATAAAAGTCGATGTAGGCGCGGAATAATTTGGACCATTCTTCGAAGTCGCTGCGGACTGGCTTCTCAATATGATATGTTGCTGAAGACATTGTGGTGATGGGATGAGTGAAGGGCGTTATCGACGAGGGGAAGTTCTGAAGTCAAAGGCGCTGTTTAAAGGTTCGTTATCGGCTCCGAGAGGCCGGTTCCGAAGATTCGGGCCGGTCTTGGGCTAAAGACCGGGAGTGTCGCCGGCATGATATCTCCTTTATCACAACCAGTGTGAGTCAATCGACTTATGAGTGAAGTTTGGCGCTAGCTGCCAGATGTTTAGTCGGGTCAAAGTCGCTGATAACAGTATTGGCTGTAATGCTGTCTCAAAATGGTGGTTGAGGAGATCCCAAATATGATGTCATGAAGCATAACTCCGCTTCTGGCCTCGAACGACATTTACACAAGCAAGTCAGGTCAATGTTGCTGACTCAAATGGATTGAAAACTTTGATCACATTGACTCAGGGGCTGCAATCCTCCTCATATAATCACGGACTTCGGCCAATGGATCTCACCCAGCGTCGTGTGCTCAAGCGCATCTCGTATAGAAAGCGGGACGGACCCCGGATCACGACCCGAGAGGTACGGGATTAGATCCTTATGCGGCAAGAATTCATGTGGATCCTTTCGGAACATTATGGCCGAGCACTATTCGTATGCTGGTCTGATAGCTTTATATCTCTTTAACCATACGCTACAGTGGCTAGGGGAGGAAAGAAAACACAGTACCTCAATGCTAAGTGACAAAAATACTTAGGTAATATAGCCTAAGCTTAGGATGACTTTTGCTAAGTTTATTTTGACACCCCACAGTAAGGTTCGCTGTTTTCTTGCCAACCGAGGAGTGGGTAGTAGTTGTGGTCAGAGACATGCACATATTCCCAATGTTCATGCAGAGTAACGGCCTCTTCAGGCGACTCTAGGCTATAATCGGCAGGTGAATCCTCCAATCCATGTATGAGGTGAGATTAAGGTGGTATAAACCCCTTTGCAACATCGGCTGCACAGAAATAGGAATGTGGTCAGCTAAAGGATCCAATCCTAGTAATTGACAAGTCACATACCTACATCACTATATAAAAGACACCGACGAGCCGAAGAATATGTTTCATTCCCATTACTCAACCACATCACAACCACCAAAAATGCAGTTCTCCATTTTCAGCATCCTGGCCATCGCCACCGTTGCCATCGCGGCTCCCCAGTCGTATGTCATTCCCTCATGAGCAGACCTTATTGACAATTGGTTGCTGACTTTGTATAGTGCCTGTGAAAACGGCGGCTTGTTTTACTCCGACCCAAAGACTCTTGAGCCCTGCAAGTCAGCCTGTGCTGGTGGAACTTGTGCTTTCCAGGGGACCTGCGAGACAGACCCTAACATCCCTCTTCTCTGCTTGGCCAAGTGCACTTGCTAAGCGTCTTGGTGAAACATGGTGACGAGGCGGATGGTTTATGATTGATGAGGATTATTCATGTCTTGATAGCCATAGTACCAGATTCTTCTCACTAAGTGGATATGGTTGACCAGCAAAGTCGTTTCTGTCCTTCATCTCCTGAATGCGAGCAGAAGAAGATCTTCAAACCGTGAACCACCAATTGCGGGCTGCTGGTGCTCTGTGAATTGACTTAACGTCACCAAATAAGGCCCCGGCACTTTCCAAGCGGCAGCCTCCCAAGCACTCTCACTATCCGCATTCCAAAGCGTTATCCGCACATCAAACGGCAGAGCCTCAACACAAAGTGAATGCATCGTATATCCCCTTCTCAACGAACTATACACTGCCAAAAGGATGTTGCAAACCATTATAGTGCGTCTGACATTCTCAGAGAATAGCCATGCTTTCCAGGGACTCAGTGTGCTGGGTAGTTGAGTAGGCGCACGTTGCCATAACTGATGAGTCAGAGCCCACATCTCTTCGTTGTCGCGTTCGATTTCATCTTCGCTTGTGTCGTGGCACTCCAGAAGACGAATTATTTGCGCGAGGCTAATTGCTTGCGCGTATGCAAGCGTGTCTGCGAATGTGCTGGTGCGTTTGGAAAGACGAAGGAGACGTCTGATTGTAAGGCGGAGGGCATTGAGGCGACTGTCAGCGAGATAATCGCCCGCGATGTGATAGCTGTAACAAACATCGCGAACTTGTTTGATTGGTGGTGGTAGTGGGGGATTATATAGTGCAGAGTGGATGAAAGAGGTCTTGCCGTGCTCAGCAAACTGGCCTGGAAAGGTTCGAAGCATGTCCGACAAATGGTGAAGCGTTTCCTGATCAAACACCCGCACAATCTCGAGATGCAATGGATTAAAGATTTGGATACCATTTTGCATGGGCTTGCTCATGACTCCAAGACCATGTAATCTTGCCAAGTCTGATTCCGCCAGAGGAGGTCGAGAGCCATCATAGTAATCATTAGAGAGGACTTGTCGAATGAAGATCTGTAGCCTTGTGTCCAGGACGCCATGGAGCAATAAACGTGACAAGCTCTGAGATCTCTGTTCTTCCTTGAGCTTTCGAGCTTTGAAAACACTTTTGAGTGTCTCTTTGTGGATAACCAGAGGTGCAGGGGCTGGCTCATTGGCGTAACGACAGGGAATACGCTTGGTGGAGCATCTCTCGCAGCAGGGACTCGCGAGATTGCAGCGCCGTCGGGCTTTGACGCAAGCTTGGCACGATCTCTGTAAAAAGCCCATTCTGCATTGGCCTTTATGTGCACTAATTGATGATTGCGGATGGGAAGAGAATGTTTCTTTGATGAGGGAATACTCGAACGATGCTTGACTAATCATCAGCGGCAGATACGCGTGTCCCCAAAAAGGACTAGTCTCCAAAATAGTTTAGCTTCCACCTGCTGGCTAAAAGAGGTTTAGACTCCACCATCTTCACGACGAGATGAGCTTGGATCGAGGCCATGATAATGATGAATTGTCTCGATGCTGAGAAATCATTTGCATCTGATTATATCTTATACTGAGCTGGGAGTCTATAAGTATTCCAGGCATTTCCGGTCATGTAGCAACATCACCAAACACAATTGGCCTGCATTTGCAACTCAAACATCTACTTACCCTACATCTTTTATTTTATCCCTACTTTCACAATGTCTACTGAAATCAAGAACGTCATGGTTCTCGGAGTGAGTCTCCCTTCTTACATCCTTTTGGGACATTGAATTACTGGCTAACAAATACAACAGGGTCGCGGAAATCTCGGGCCATATCTCATTAGAGCACTTGTTAAAGTAGGCTTCAACGTTTCTGTCCTCAGCCGCACTTCATCCAACGTCACAAACTCAACGTTCTTGGATGCTGCAGTTATTAAGTCCGACTACACTTTCCCGTCTCTTGTTGACGTCTTTACGGGACAAGATGCTGTTATCTCTACCCTTTCGACCGCCAATATCGCAGAGCAAAAGATCGTCATTGACGCTGTTGCAGCTGCAAAGGTCAAGCGATTCATGCCAAGTGAGTTTGGGAGCGATACATCCGTCGATGGTCTGGAGAAGATGGCGCCTTTCCTTAAGGGGAAACAAGACGTTATGGACTACGTTAAGTCTAAAGAAGCAGACGGGCTGTCTTGGACAGCGATTTTCACTGGCCCTTGGATTGACTGGGTAAGTCTGTGGACTAAAAATAAGCAGAGCAAAGGAATATTCTGACCAATTATTAGATGCTGGTCGAAGGTAAAGGACTGCTTTGCTTAGACGTCAAGACCAAAGCTGGTGAGCTTGTCAACTCAGGCGAACCAAAGTTCACCGCTACGACCGCGTCACAGGTCGGCCAAGCTACAGCTGCTGTACTCCTCCGTTCAGATAAAACCAAGAATGAGTATGTTCATGTCGCATCTTATAATACTTCTCAGAACCAAGTCATCGACGCTCTCGAGAGAATGTCAGGCACCAAGTTCCAACTCGAGAACTTGGACAATAAGGACTTGTACGCTCGCGCAACAAAGCATATCGAGGAAGGCAATTGGGGCAGAGGGTACTATGAGCTGGCTACAGCGACTGTCTACAGCGATGCGCCTGTTACATATTTCCCTGATAAAGCGGCTCATTGGATGAAAGTGCTTGGTCTGGTTCAGGATGAGACCTTTGATGAAATGATCTCCCGTGTTTTAAAGACTGTTTGAGTCTAGGACACAATGCATAGGAGACAGGATCATGAGACGTCACGTGATATGGTTATATACCTCGGCATATAAAACGGCCTCACCGCCATTGCCAAGCCAATACACCACGGTATTCCCGAACATTGCACCAGGATATAAATATCATCAATAGTATTCATTGTTCATATCTCCTGTGTTATTCATGGAGACTGTCATGCGAAAATCATGCAAAGCTATATGCCATAACCAACCCATCCCAACCGTTATTCATTTCCATTTAGTGCCAGAGAGCATCGTTGGGCTTGATGCCCTTCTCCTTGCAGTGGTCGTAATACAACTTGGAGAAGCTGAAGAGATCAAGAGTGAACTTCAAGGTATCATCGTCATTGAGGAACTCAATGCTACCAGTGATGGTAAACACGATATCAGTGTCGTCCTGGACAGACAAGGTGTGGATAACGCCGGGGTTCTCGCAAACCCAATCTCCAGGTCGGGCAACCCAGTCGTACCTGGATCGCGATAGATTAGCATCTCAATCTCGTACAAGGTTAGGGGACGGGGGGTAACATACTCCTTGTAGCCCCATTCTCCTGACATGGTGATGGCTGTAACGGTACCGCGATGTCGGTGCTTGCCCAGGCTGGCAGCGACCTTTGATCGAAGGCCGACGACGAAAGTGCCCGTCCTGTTCTCCATGCGCATGGGCTTCAGCTCAATGGGTCCGATCCAGGGAAACCAGAGCGTATCGGTCTTTGCGTTGATATAGACATCGGGGGCGCTGTACTTGTCGACAAACGCAAGCTCATCCCGCTCGTGCTCGTTGAGGGCGGAGCCATCCTCCTTGGGTCGCTCGGGGAGCTTGGAGACGGGCTCGGGGACGAGATCGGGGGTAGTAGTTGAAGGAGCCATTGCTATAATTTGGGTGAGGCGTAGATATGTTGTGCAGTAGTAGAAAAGTGTAATAGAAGGTTTAAGTGCCAAGTTGTACTACGGGCCGTTCCTGGGCTGGATTTATTAAATGCAATTTTGTAAAGCTGCCAGGACCCTTGAGGCGAACGAAGGAGCGGAGCCGATGAGGGGAAAGGATGACTATTGATAGTAAGACGATTGGTTGCGCTTGTGGGCATTCGAAACGCGTTGTCCGCGGTGTAAATCCTTAGTCTCGGGGCATACCGCCATTTCGAGTACTAGACTGCCTCTGACTCGCGATAGCTCTACTATTCTGGAGCGATAGCCCGCTTCCCGCCCACAAACCGCCCATAGTCTCAACGGCTTCTGAACTCTAGGGGCCTTTAGGCATTAAAAGCTGCTAATATTTGTGAGGAAGGGTGATATGCTAGCGGAGTTTGAGAGGCGAAACTGTGGTTTTGCCTGGAGGTGACGATCTTGTCTGCATGAAGCCTCATCATGCAACGTCAAGCACAGACCGCATCCCGTTCTGCGCGCCCCTGATGCCTATCTTCCTCTTCTGGCAGAAGGATTCAGGCAAACTCCACAGACGGTGTTTGCCGTACGCGTACTGGGCGTACAAGAGAATTGCGGTAAGTGTAGCATCGCTTTTAGGCCATAACCCACTGGCTGGTCCACTGGTCTAAACCGTTCCGAAACTAGACGACCCCAGATCCGCTGCGACGTTGGAGGTTGCGCTTTGATGAGACTTGAGAGTAGAAAATGCCGTTGTGCCAAGGAGCCAAGGTTGTGCCGTGGTGGCATACCCGACTATTCGGAATATTTTATCTCAATTATATATATAAATGATAACTGATTGGAGGATTCGGGGCGATTGGGTAGGAGGATTGGATACCTTGTTTAGACGCGCTGTCGCGGCGAGCAAAGACCCTGAACCAACAGCCAAGACTACGCATTGCAAGATACATACACTTTCACAGGGGTTCAGTCCTTGCTTTTTATGCTCGATCTTTTTTTCTTTTCTTTTCTTTATCCAGCCCAGGCCCCTGGGATCCTCAATCTTGGGTTCTGAGATCGTCACCGAAGCAAAACCTCGCATTGCTACCTTACAGTTCGGCCTGAAGCTAGCCTAGCCAACCTCGCCCCCCCCGGAAGTCCTGTATCCGCCAGGCTAGTAGGGGAAGCCCTTCTTTTGTGGTTGCGGCACGACACCCGCGTAACTACCGTCTCCCCCCGCGCGGCCTCCGCGGCAGATTCTGGGTCTTGTTAATTTTGCTTAGCCTTACGAGCTGATGCGGGAACGAACCCGTGTTGATGCTATCGATGTTTAGCGCGGGTTATGGCGCCAGCGCAGAGAAGCGTCTGCCTCACTATTACACTAGGTAAGGTATCTGCAAAAAGAA